CGGACATGTCATGTCCTTAGAATCAATGCTAGCAATGTTGACTTCCTCCAACTTGTCGACAAAACCAGCTGCATTGGGGGCGTGCGAGCTCGTTCTTGACAGTTTCCTTCGAAGGTGTTTGTCATTGATAGCGGCGCTATCAGAGAACAGGCGAGTTCCTCAAAATGCATCGAAGTGGAACTGCCGAAGGATGAAGATTGTAGATCGTTATCGTGAGGCGAATACATCTTATTGTTCACAGTCGATGGCATATTGGTATGTCAATTCAAGTTGGGCGATGGTGGGTGATTGACCAGGTGAGACAGTCTATACAGTCAGCAGAGAAAGGTAGTTGTGTCGGTATAGAGCTACCTACAGTGGAGCAAGGTGTCTAGAAAATACAGTTCGACAGTGATACAATACAGTGTAATTCGACAGCGCTGTGCCAGCGTCTTGTCTCTCACTCTCACTTTAGACGTTGGAGTCAAAAACTCCAAGGTATTGCTTTAGTTCAATTGAGGAGCTTAGTCCCGCGCAGATCACGTAGCCTGTTGCAGTCATGCGCAGTTGGTCATCAGGTAAAGTAGCAACCCGGCATCCTATATGTACTCACGGATCTTCTTTAGAGAATGTACCTACGCACTCTCTCACCTCTAACACACGAACATGGCAACAGTTCCTGTCTACATTGTTGTGCGCAGTTCCAGAATGAATTCCAGAACTCCACTTATCCGCGTTCGGTCTCGACGATTTCAGAATCCGGATGATTATCCATTTTTTGAAGACACAAATATTGTGTGGCATATGGTGATGAACCCTGTATACGCGGCACAAGAAAATGTGCAAGTGGCTATACTCACCGCTGAGGTGGATCGCGGTTCCCAGACGACTGTCAGGATCGCAGAGAAACCAAAATTGGATATGGCAGAAGCCAAGCGGGATCTGCGAAGGCTCATGATATTGGAAATGGGAGTTCTGATGGAGGCTGGCAATATGCGTTTGAACTTTATACCTGACACAGGGCTAGCAGACGGGAATGGTGATATGGTGGTATTTGATCATCCATTGGGGTTACAACATGAGTGGATCTGGTATACTATCAGAACCGTGCATGCGCACACTGATTGGAAGGTTGGAAGTTCATAGAAGCAGAAAAGTGAATAAGCAACAGCCAAAAGACCATCACACATTCATTCATTCACTGATATACGTGATGATATCGTACAACTGACTCACCCACAAGCAAACTCGTAGTCTACAAAGCTACGACGCTCTACACGAATTTACAATCACCAACACACGCAGCATGGCACACATAGAAGCCCACGACGCAAACGACAAATACTAGATGATCGGTGGTTACCCGACGAGACGAGATATTCCTAACGACCTGCCGATCAATGTCAGTTGCTTCCTCTAACCAACAAGCCACAACAATTCCGAGCAGTGTTACTATAGTCTATCAACAACAATGAACCAGGTTTGATGCACACAAGCGCCCCGACAACAGATCACGGTGAACCAGGAAACAAGTTTACGCTGATTGCTGGTATTCCTGATGTACTAGAAGACGGTTTTTAGATTGTCTACTACATGCCTACAGATTACAGCCCTAGTGGAAATTTTTAACGTAGGAGAAAGGTCATAGAGATGGAGACGCCTCGGATAATCCAAGAGTTTGTATCGTTTCAGGCGGAGGACACTAGTGATATGAGAGTGAGGCATGACACGTGTAGCTGTTCATGTTCTTTCTTATTCAGTACAGGAGTTTTCACAACCGAGGTGTACGGTACAGCCTCCCTCTTCCCTATTCTTAACACGTCGATTTGATCTTTTCGGTACCTGTGACCTACTCTAGTTTCTCATTTCCTTCCCTAATGGCCTGTCCGTAGTCTCCTGCATTCGGTGTCCTTACGATAGTATGTGTATGGTATTTCGCTGGCTCCTTGTTCGTCAGAAATACACCGGAGTGATGGTCAAACTCGACCAAAATGACCGGGCTCTGTATACGGAAGTAAAACGCGTCGTCTTCGCCGAAGCCTCCAATCCAACAAAAGTACGTTTCGTTGATGTGTTGCTTAATCTGTTCGAGCTTGAGCTGGCGCGCCTTGGTTGGATGATACAACAGGAACTCCTGGCATATGGATAAGATGAGTTCCTTTTGGGAGGAGTCGAAGGACGAGACCTGAACGCCTTCGTAAGGAACGATACGGTTATCTCGGAAGGCGCCACATCTGTGCCGCTGGTCGTCTGGACCCCAGGTATCAGTAATGAGCTCATCGCGTTTGGTTTCGTCGTTGTTGGAATTGCCGTAAACTTGCTTCATGCCTTCATCTCTCATTTCCTTGAAGATTTGTGCTTTTTGCTGTTGTTCATGGCTGAGACTCTGCATGAGTTTCCAGCCCAGGCTTCCTTCTTTATGCAAGATCTTGGTGCCTTTCCATTCTCCTTCGTCGATAATATTCGGTTCTGCACCGGTAAATGAGGGGCTCATAATGACCTGGGTTCCTTTGTAGAAACATGAAATGTCAAGATGATGGCCGTAGAGAAGCCAACCCCAAGGCGATGTAGCCGAGGCGGAGGGTGTGCCGAACAGCAGAAAATTGTAAGAGTACTTGTTCAAGATGTTGGGTAGCTTGCAGACTTCGCCCAGGAAATGATTTACACGCATGGCCGCAAGAGCCTTTTGGTAGCCTTCTGGTGAAAGAGATGCCTCTACCACCGCCAGGATTGACTGTGCAGTGCTTTCGGGAACTAGAAAGTCAACATACAACCAAGCACTTAGGCGTTGTGTACGTACCTTCTTCCAACCTCAGCCCAAATGGTCTTAGAAGGAACTCTGGGTTACTCCATGCTCTCCACTCTCTCGCATTAATTGGATATGAGACCTTCTTCTTCTGCTCACCGTCCAGACCGGCGAGTAGTTCTTCGGCCTTCTTAACCGCACCATCCACATCAGCGCCTTCGTCTTGTGCCTTGAAGAGACCTTCCCTTACTTTTCCGTCGTTTGTGATACCTTTGTATGGCTCTTCCAGTAGCTTTTCCCAGACCTTTGTCAGATCGTACAGCCATGGTGGAGCACGGTTGTCTTGCATATCTTGAACATACTCGTAGATGTTCTGTTTTGCCGCTGTTGTGAAACGCGGACTGCTAAGGTCCGGTAGATGGGCGCGGAAGCCAGCTGATGCTTGGTCAAATGAATTTCGTCTTGCCATGGTTGAGTGTTGTTATGTGTCAATTCGTGTACGACCCTGTTCTTCTGACGTTCTTTGCGAGGGAACGCTGGTGTAAAGGGTAGAAGCTTTTTCCGTGAAGCTATAATCCTGATGACAGCGACGATGCTTACTATCTTCAGGTGCTTGATCTGACGCCGAAGGTCACGTTATGCCCGCGTCGGTCTTTCTCTCGCTTTCTGAAGTTGGAAGCCAGCTCCGGGTGAACGCTCTTCCTCCACGCGAACTTAGTAACACGTAATGATCAGTGGTTGTTCTGATGGCCGGATCCAGGATCCAATGAGCATGCAGCTATTCTCAGTGCAACGGCTGATGAACTCACAACCACCCTCGTGAGATCTGTGGAGAGTGGGAAATTCTCTGTCTCCCCTTGAGATATTCGGGAAGTCACCCCACATTGGAAGATAGGCGCTAGCGCGGGGTATGGCAGCCCCTCATCACGTATCCACGGGACTGAAGTCGGCTTCCGGCTCGATATACATAGAGCTCTCTATGTGTCGCGCTCCCGATCTGTTGTGTACGAGCTAACTAGGCTGGCGTAGCTTGTAACCAGAACGCGAAACATGCAACATTTCCAGCCACCTTTTGCTAGAGTATCGTATACACCATAACCTCGCTTCTTATATGTCGGACGCTATGAAGCAGTTATCTTTGATGAACGTCACCACCGCTTCAGAGAGAGCGCCAGTACTCATCGGATGTTTGACCGGCAAACCCAAATGTCGATATGAAGTCGATCGTGTCGCCAAATGTTCAAGTGGGTGCTTTGAGTGTCTGCCGTTAAGTTTGGCGCTTGATTATGCTTTGTAGCAATTGCAGCGGTAATGCCAATCGCACGTTAGCAACAACTTAATGCACCGAAAAGGAATGCATCTGTGGCTGCGTATCCGGAGTATCCGAATCTAAAATGAGCAACTCTCATCATCGATGTGGGCTTCCGAAGAAGCAGCGAAGATACGCAGCAGAGCATAGCGGAGGAAGAGCAATCTAGCATCAGAATGCATGCGCTTCCCATGGGTCTCCAAGTGGAGGGTGGTTCTAATGCGGCGGTGAAGCATTCATCGGGCGTAGTCGCAGTCCTGCTTGATACCTACTGTCAGGTAGTATGTGATGACCCGTCCATCGACGCTCTGGCATCCGTCATCACGTTAAATGCTACGAAAGACAAACACAGCATTATCTTGAGCCTCACTCGCAGATCGTGCAATCACGACCAATATGATGGTAACATGCAGGGTCGGTACACCCGCACTCCGTGACTCCGCATATGCCGAACATCGCTCGTCCATGACGGCGGTGGGGCCAGGAAGCTGGGTGAAGATGCGCTAACCTTCGAAACGTTGCCCCGCCACTGTGGGGTGTTAGCTGGCCACAGCGACTCCATCTCAAGTGTAATCGGGCCTTAAGGATTCTCCGATATATGTTCACGACGACGTCCATGCTTAGTGGATACGATTGAGTTTCGGCCGTTGCGACATTTATTGACGTATTTGCTTTCTTGAAAGACGTTGGGGATTCGTAGACTTCCGGTTAGTACCTCTTCCGGTGGCTGAACATTACGCGCGGGAAAGAGCTCGGAAGTAGTGGAGAACCTGGAGTAAGGTTGAGTGCGCAGAAATATAGAAGCAGCTGAAGAGTGTCTTAAGAGCTCTTGCCAGATTCTCTATTTCTCGGAGGATATCCATCCAGCAACAGACTACGATCACATTCTATCAACAGCTTCCGATCCTATACCACATCGTTGGCACTATCCAAGAAGTGAAAGGAGGCACAAGCACAACGTCCAGAATGGCGGAAAACACAAGGATAGCCATTGTTGGAGCAGGTACGATATCTTCGACGTCTCATTTCTATACAATTTGATAGCATCTAACAACATACTAGGCATGGGTGGTCTTGCAGCAGCACTCTCACTTGCGAAAGCAGGCCACAAGAACATCACAATATATGAGAATGCAACAAACATGGGGTTTGTGGGCGCTGGTATCCAACTTGCACCCAATATGGCTCGTATCCTGGACAAGTTAGGTTGCTGGGGACCAATCCGCGACGAGGCAGTCCAATGCGCAAACACATCCATCCGGGAAGGCACAACAGACAAAGAGCTAGGGTACGTAGATCTGGGATACGTCCGGGAAAAGTACGGATATCCACACATGGTTGGTCATCGAGCTAGTTTGGCGAACGGTTTGTACGAAGGTTGCAAAAAAGAGAGTGGTATCACGTTCAGATTGGGTTGCAACATATCCAACGTGCGTTTTGGCGCAAGACCAAAGTTCACTATTTCGCCATCCTCAGGTCAAGGGGAATCAACAGAAGCCGAATGCGATGTTCTTCTCGGTGCTGATGGTGTAAAAAGCTCTACACGCGTCGCTATGCTCAAGGAACTTGGTCACACCGGCGCTGCTCGCGATTCAGGTCAGGCTGCCTATCGAATCATGTTGAACCGCGACCAAATGGAGAATGACCCCGAGTTACTCAAGTTGATCGAATCCGATACCGTGACACGCTGGATCGGTGAGAGGAAGCATATCATCGCTTACCCGATCCACAATAAGCAAATATACAACATCTCCACCGCACAGCCCGATATCAGCTTTGCCGGCGCACCGGACGCTCAATATACAACCAAGGGCAGCAAGAAGGCCATGTTGGAAGTTTACGGCGATTTCTGTCCCATGATACATCGCATGTTGAATCTAGTGCCAGAAGGTGAAGTCGTCGAGTGGAAGCTAAGGGTCCATGACCCATTGATCACCTGGGTGCATGGTACAGCCGCGTTGGTTGGTGATGCTTGCCATCCTACGCTCCCGCACATGGCACAAGGTGCTGCCCAGGCGATCGAAGACGGTGCTGTACTGGGTGTTGTGCTGTCTCCTAAGCGGATCGCCGACGGGAAGCCACAGACCATCGAGCACGCACTGCGACTATATGAGAAGCTAAGAAAACCAAGGGCGGAGGCACTCGTCGAGCTTGCAGCGGAAAACGGAAGAGAAATGCATCTCGGAGCGGGTAAGGCCAAGGAGGAACGTGACAAGATCTTCGCAGCGATGAAGGCAGGTTCAGGAAAGGTGCCGGACAGGTGGGCTGATGCGGATATACAAGCGCGGGTGTATGGCGTCGATGTCGTGGCAGAGGCAGAAGAGCTGTGCCAGAAGGAAGGACTGGAAGCGAAGTTATGAGCTAGTCATCACGGATTCGTATTTTAGCGCAACAGTTCCGGTTTTTGCATGTAAGAATTAGAAGCATTACAGAACTACCAGTTTCAACAAGCATTTTCTTGGCAAGATGCCTATGGTGTCATTGATGTGACGATACACTACTCAGACGTACGAGAATTCTGTGTAATTAACACGAGGGAAAGCCTTGTGCTGATTCTACATTCTCTCCGACATGTGGCCCCTCATCGTATAGCCCTTCCAATGCGTGAACATGACCGGGACAAGACTAACGCCCACAAGCAATGCCGCAACAATGCCAGCACTGTTCGCAATTCCTACATTCTCAAACATGGGAGGGAACCAGAACGGACCGAGGAAGCCCCAAATTTGCCTCACAAAAGTAACGAACACGCCAATGCTACCAGCTTCTTCAGGATAGCAATCTACAGCGTATGTGATCAGAACTGTGGTAACAATCTGGTTGCCTGCTGCACCTATACCGGCACCAACAATGGGGGTTACGTTCCAGTGTAGGTTGGGGGCTTGCTCAATGCGTACGAGGAACACGACCACACCGCAAATGGTGAGAAGAATACCAAAGTAACTCAGCCAAAGGCGGAACTCTGGAGCAGGCCGGAGGGGAGCCATCTTCTTTGCACGCCATCGCATCCAGAGGTCACTGGAGTGCCCGCCGATTTGCTCGCCGATAACAGTGCCGACGATGACGCCAAGGAACTGTAGGCCGATTTGTTGGGCGTTGAAGTGGAACTTCTCCCCGAAGAGTTGCGGAATTTCAACCGTTGCGAGAACAGACGCGAAGAGGAATACCATTGCGTATGCGCAAGCCGGAATGACTACACATGGGTACTTGAACAGTCGAAGGGGCGAGATAAACTCTGAGAGGGTGATGGGTGTAGGGTCGATACGACGGAACTTCAAGTACATCTCCTTGTAGGCTGCGAAACCGGATTGCGCATGTTGCACGTCGCCGTGTCGGATGAAACGTGTCTCTGGTCCGAAAAGGGTGTAAAGAATGACTTGGACACCATTCACGATCGCAAGGATCCAGTAGATCCAGCGGTAGCCGACATTGTACGTAACAAAGCCGAAGATGAGCGGTGCCAGAGGTATACCAAGGGTAATCATGACCGTCCAGATACCCATGAACTTCGCTCTCTCCCTTTTGAAGAATGTTTCAACCACCACGGCACTGCCAATTGCATTCGGGGGTGAGATGAAGAAGCTTTGGAAAGCTCGGCAAGTTGCCATGGCAGCGTACGTCTGGCTCTTCGCGCAGCCAACATTGAAGACCAAGCTGCCGATCAAGGATATAATGAAGATAGGTCGGCGTCCGTATCGTGTAGAGAGTGGCCGCCAGAACAGCGGAGCACCTCCAAGGATGGCAATTTGCAAAGAGGTAAGATACGATGCTCTTTGGAGGCTAACACCTAGGTCTTCGGAGATGTCCTCGTAGGCTGGAATGATTGCTGCAGCAGGAAATGCGCACATCATGGCGTGAAAGGCGACAAAGAAGAGGTTCATCACTTTCTGTGTCCTTCGTTAGTAGCCGTCCAACTGATGTGTTCGCAGTGACTTGCCTTCCACTGGGGCCAGTTGTATGGATCGGCCGTACCCATAGTGGGTATAGGATCGAGCTCAAGTGTGCCATGTCTTTCCAAGAGATACTGCCGATGCTCCTCTGAGAGATGCGTTGCTTCATCTTTTTCGAGATAGGTACCATGAGTAGGTAGACGCTCTATATCTTCACTACGAACTGGCTCGCTTGCGACGATCTCTTTGTCGTTCTCCATGACTGATGGGTGGTTCTCAGTGTCTAGGCCCTATGGGTGGACCGCGGGGAAGTGTAGTACAAGGGAGAAAGGCCAGCAGTCTCGAACACACTTGTTTAGGTGGCAACCCCATATTATGTACCCGTTCTCCCCATACCGATTAAACTGCGGAAGAAGACTTTCGCGGGGACCCCCAGTGGAGACCCCAGATGTAGGATTATTGGCTGGTCGCTAGCCCTCGGGTTTCAGACAAGGGTTGTTAGCCGTCGTCGTCACGTTTTTGTCGCTATCTTTCGTCATCCTACTAATCGAGAAGCGGAATTGGAACTCGGCAGCGACACACCGAGGCTTATCATGTTCGTTGAGTACCGACGAACTGGCGTAGTCGCGCTATAAATGAGGAGTAGAAGTCAACGGAAAGGCAAGTCGGCACCTAGCACGGAATTATAGGTCGCAATACTCGAGTTTGTGATTTTTCAGCAAGCCTGACGCTATGAAGTGAACGTACGCGTCTCCTGTGCGTGTCGAAGGTCAAGGCTCGAAGCAACGCCGTCCGCGCTCAAGCTTCAGGGAAAAGCTTGGTCGCGGCGCATCTTCCCGCTCCCGGATCCGGTCAACCCCGGCCAACATGTCTCACAGCCACCACAGTTCTTCACGGCACGTCGATAACGCTGCACAAACGGGATACATTCCAGGACTAACATCTTCATCCTCGTCATAACATATACCATGCAGTCGCGTACCGTCGCATGTAACCCAGTCGTTCACATCCCAACGAACATCCTGAAGTTCCTTTGAGTCTCACGCCATCGTATCGTTATCGGTAAGGTATCCGGAAAGGATGCGCCTCAGTATTGAACACGAAGTCGTCCAAGCTAATCTGGTCGTGATCACTAAAGATGAGATAGAAGTATTTCAGAGTTTCAGCAAGCCAGAAGCTCTGCGGATATGTTAGTGTTTGTTTTACGCGCGTTAGGTATTCGAGACTTACCTCCATGCTGTCGCTCTTATCTGGTGGAGTCTTCATGATATCCTGGAGTGCGGCACTACCAAACTCAGTTTTGGTGTTTGCTTCGATGGCTCGGAACATATCCCACGCAATGTCCTGATATTTGGTCTCTCCAGTGAGTCGAAACATGTAGAAGACCGACTCGATTGCTTCCGGTCGGAGGATGTAACGACCGTCATGCACGGCGCTGAACGGAGCAGCGCCCGGTATGTAATCGCATTCTGACTGCGATGGGCAAGGCGTCATGGAGAAGACCTCAGGCATGATTCCATTTGGCGCTTTTTTGTACGTCCATGCACAGCCATCAGAGATCTTTCGGCCCACGTTGAAATGGGTTTGATTGTCGAAGAGCCGCCCTCCAAGCGCCAGCATACCTCCTGCGTAACATACCAGATGTTGCCCAGTGTCATCTCTCTGCCCGTAAGGACCATCGTGTTTAGCGGTAGCGATCAGAATATCGGCTTTGTCTTCCACCATGGGCCGAAACATGGTGTACGTAATCGCGGTGTCCATCGCGTATTCGTACATTTTGCGATACTGGTCAGCCGGACCGAAACCGTTGAGCAATTGATGCATCTTTGGTAGATACTCAAATGCTGAATCGGCCATGGCACCCAGCCCAAAGAAAGTATCAAAGGTTAAGTTTGGTGTCCTCATATCCACGCTGATGGGCCACATGCCAGGAAGCTTGGTAGATCCTTGTTGCTCGTCCAGGACGTTCGTAACTCTGGAGATGGCGTCGAAATATCTCATATCCCCTGTAATTTGGGAGAGACGAGTGAATTCTATGCTAGCAGACGCTGCTTCGGCTATGAGCACTGAGCGTGCTGGTAGTTGCTCTTCTCCATCTGCTGCTTTCCCTAGTTTCCATCTCGAGACAGGCATACGATTCGACGTATCGAATGTCGCATATGCCATATCCGCCACTTCGAGTGCTTTGTTCAGAAGGCGGGCGTCATGGCAACCGGATACGTCGTAGGCGCCTATGAAGCCTCCAAGATAGCGTATTACGATCTCAAACATGTTGATCTCGCTTTCGCGATCATCACTTGGTTTGAAATCAATCTGAAGCGCTGCTTCGACAGCTTCTGCAAACTCATCTTTCATGTCGAGAATCCATAACGTATCCAATGAGTCAACCAAGGTGGCTCCCCAGCCGCCGAATTGGGTATCTCGGGATTGACCTGATATAGGTGCAAGTTCATCCTTCATCCACGCGCGTTCCCTGTACGACTTCCAGCATCTTTGAAAGGTCCTCTTAACAGCCTCTCGCCGAGAAGCAGTTGATTCTAACTTTATTGATGCTGCATCCGGCGATCGTTGGAGAGAGCGTCTGGATTTAGGCCTTTGGGAGGGCAATCGAGCATAATGCTCGACCGGGTAGTGGCTGGGAATCGCTCTCCAATTGAATCGACCTTCAAAATCTGGAGTCACTGCTGGGTTAGGCGGTATCGTTGGGCAGGCATTCGACAAGGGGGACATTGATCGCGTTGGACGTTCATCGTGACTTGTCGGGAACGTTGCTGCTCGCGATGGTGCGAACTGGGTAGAGAGTGTGACAGTCAACGTAAGAAAGAGTATTGCTATGATAAGTACCAGGCCCCATTTCCATCTTCTGAGGAACATGATGGACTTTGTTGACATTGGTAAGACTTTCGGCGACAAGAAACATCCCCGAATGAATAACGAGGGAAGCAGAGAATTAAGTGACACCAGTCACCGCCGCAAGAGCTTGTATGTCGCTGCGGCTCAGTTTTGGGGGCGCCAATGCTATATATGTACTCATGCATGCCAGCCAATCTCGCGCTGTGGCGTGGGTCGCAGCCTGATGAACACTAACCGCCACATCCCCATTTACTCTTTGTCCGGAAGTTGGAGTCGCGCGATCTTCTCATATGGCCCCTGACAAGACAAAACTGGCATTCAATATCTAATCAATGAAAAATACTACAGAACACATCACACAATGTCCAGCTTCTCAACTTCCTGCGACGACTTGCTGCGACACTAAGCCACATCCGGCGTTTGTTATCGTCTCTCAAGACTCGCAAGGCTGAGGCATAGGCTAACTGGTCAAAACGAAGTTATTATGGGTACATATTCGCCATGGCTGATTTCTTCATCAACGTATGGGCCACCATCCACCTACCGGGCTTTTTGATGAGTTCATCATACATGCAGAGCCAATGACTGTAACAATGCAGGTGTGCACACCCAAGCCCTCGAACGGCCCCGATGTTCTAGAATGGCTAGTCAATGTAAAGGCGCCTGATAAATCCCCAGTGCTAGGTGGAAGACTTCTCCCTCGATTCTCACACTCTTATGAGATAAGGCTGGGAACCTTACATATCACCGGAGATGTCATACTACACATCTTTTGCGCTTCTTCTCTCTACCTTTCCTCTACAAACATGGTCTCAGTCTGTTCAAGACGCCTGGACCGCGCCTGCATCCCCCGACGGGTCTACGAACTTGCAAGGCGGTACTTCATTTACTATCCGCTGGAAGCCACAACTGCAGAACAACTTCCCAGAGTACTGTCCTTCTTGTAACGTCACGATGCTAGATCTTTGGGTTGCTAGCTTTAGGGGAAGAGCATACAAGTTCAAAATTGCTGGTGGGTAAAAGCCTTCCGATCGTCCTAATCGTTCGCAGTGACTAATTGCTTGATATGTATAGGCAGCATCGATATCACAACGACTGTGACATATGGCTGGGATATGAATATCCCTTCAGCTGCGCTCGCAGCGAACGACTATTGGGTACTGAAGTTCACACCTGCCGGAGCGGAAGAGCCTTGGGACGAACAGGTTTCATCGTCCGGCTTTTACATCTTCGACCCTTCTCAATCATCGTCTGTCTCCAATACAGTCACTATGCAGCCCAGTAGTGAGTTCATGAACATCCAAGGTAATTTCTTAATCTAAAATCAAGCGTAGGCTCTCCGCACCTCACACCAGAGTCTTCAGTAGGTTCAAGCAGAGTAGACATAAGCGCAACGCCACCTCCCGTGGCAACGAATCTTACAACTGCACCAAACTCTGATCATTCGAACAGAGGCTGGATCGCTGGCGCGGTAGTGGGGCCGATTGTGGGAATTGCATTGGGCGCAGGACTCATGTGGTTCTTGCTACGCAGGAAAAGGAAGGACATTGGAGAACAACAAAGTCAAGGGGTGAGCGTGGAGCCCGCTCATACAACTACACAACCACAAGTATCGCAACAAGTCTCCGAAATGGATAGTAGTCGACAATACAAAGCAGGAGGACAGGACGAGTATACGGCGGAGTTGTCAAGCAGTGCACCCGAGCGCAGCCCTGCCGAACTTTGGCATGGAAACTATAGACCAGTTTCCTAGCTCTGCATCATCTTCTGTAGTTTGACCTTACCACCGACCTTCCATTTCATTGCAAGGTTTCTTGGGATAATTTGTGTATCTTATCGTTACTCGCCAGCATGTACCATATCCAATACTGTCCCTTGACGACGTTTGCGTCTGCAAGCAGCTCCAAGCCTTCATCAACTACACTTCGGACTATGCACTCAGTTGTGCTAGCCAGAATAAGCCAATGCTCATTAGCGGCGGGTTCGATTAGCTTAGCACCCTCGGTGAATGCATCGGAAGAAGCTGTAAACGGTCCAGCGTTTGCAAAACGTTATGGTTTCGTTTTGTCAAAGCCAAAATGACATGCTGAGGCACGCAACCATTCGAGTCGTAGTTAGCTGAGTGCCCACTTCCTTGAGATATGTCGATACTCAAAGCTATGCGCTATAGCTATTGAACATACCCGAACCAGGTCTTTGACAGCGTAATACTCCGTAGCACTCCTGCGTACCCATACAATCATTAAGCATATACTAAATGCTCATCGAGACGCATCTTGATAGCCTGTCACGCTCCAGATGAGCGAAACATAATGGTGGATAGATCGTTCAGCGTTTACAACTTTTGTTGGCTATGATCTGTGAATGCCATAGCAACTACGCTAAGCAACGTAAGCAATCAACTCAAACTACGCCACGCTTCCAGAACTCTAAACTATGTCCGTATATAAGCAGTGTAGTATGAGTAACCAGCACACATACACTCAAGATCCAAAATCCCCAAAGCTCGTAGCGCTTTGAAGTTCCTGTGCGACGACTGCACAACTCAGACATACTTCTCTCAACCGCACCACCGTTTCTTCAGAATCAACGCGACCCAGGTACCCAGCCCCCTCAAACCTTGAGGAAAGTTGCATGTGTATAATGGGAAACTTTACAAGCAGTATAGCTTCAGATACCGCGTATAGCTGGCGCTGTCATCACTGCATGTCATCTTCATCTTATGTGAAACCATCTGCTGACCTCACCAGGTGAACAAATATGGTCGTTTACTGAGGTTGGGAACAAATGCCCAGACTGTGGACATCGGAAGTGCCGGAGGAGATGTGCCATCATGGGGCTTGCGCGGACGGATGAGTTATGGCTGGAGAGAACTGGATCGAAGAGATTAAGCAAACGGTCGAAGTCGCTAGTTGTGGATTATTGCTGAGAGATATTACTTCCATGGCGCGATGGTGGAGTATGTTCCTTGTGATTGGTATGCAGGAGGCTGGGAGCTGTCGCGTTTGACTTTCACGCTACCTAGTGATGATGTCATGGTGCCACTAGGGACAGTAGTGCCCAGGTGGCTCCTGCCACACCTGAATCATCTCTACATGAACCTTTCAGCATCAATCCCATTACAAATATATTGAACCATGATGCTGATGCTTGTGGCCGGCATGCTGTTCGGCGTGCTCGTCTCGTTTGGGTATCGCCTGACTCCTTTGCTGTCCAGCCCCAGGAAAGTCACTCTATCCTTTTCCCCAGCCTCACTTCGAATGGGGGAGATCATCCTGGCTATCATGGCGATGATCGTGAAATCTATCTTGTACGCGATACCCAGAGTTCCGCGCGTAAATTCTTCCGGACTAGAGCTCGACTCGCCTTTCATCATAGATGCGGAAGACGTCGCTCGATATCAACTAGCAGTTGGACGAGGAATTGGCGCAGGATCAAGGATTCCACCAGCTCAACTCATGCTTTTTCTGTCCGCTATGACTGAGCCCGCGATGCTTCTCCTCCTCGCAAGCCCCTGGTGTCCAATCAGTCCCCTGGGTGCCGTCAACGTCCGCAACAGGTTCGAGATACTACGCCAGGATCTATGCCACGTAGCGACGCTTATGGGTATGAGGTCAGCTAATCTGAACGCTATAGTACACAAAACTCCAAGACAAGCAAAACAAGGGATCGAGTGGGATTTGGAGGTCACGATCAATATTCCCACGGGGAGGAGCGATGGGACTGCGGATACCATATTTCGCCAAATCTTCACCATGCTAGAGTTCGGCAAAGTACAAACCAAGAAGGTTCCACAAAATTCTGATGAGACAACGCCTAGCATGGTGACAAACCCTTTGTTCGAAAGCACTACGCAGGTATCGTTGTCCGTGGACGATCCGCTGAGATGGGCTGCAATTTGCAAAGACTATAACTTCATACACCTGTCAGGGTTGGCTGCGAAGGTTTTCGGTCTACCAGGAAAGATAGCGCACGGAAACCACGTCGTCGCCAAAGCTCTGCAGCGTGTGCCAAATTTGGGAGGCTCAACGTTCCTGCTAGATACATCCTTGTGGATGGAAGTGCATTTCAAGAGGCCAATGGTTGTGCCTGGTGTCTTCGATGTCAGTCTCCATAAGTCTAGCCAAACTAGCAATAAGTTTTCCGTTTCTCGTTCAGGGAAAGACTATGCTACTGCTGAGTATGGTAGTCTCCAGTTGTGAAAATATCAAGACGTTGTTGAGCCAACAAAAGCTTACTTTCAAGCTGAACCACCAACAGTGCTTGCCGCGCTATAACATTGCATCTGTATTCAGATAGATACGATACCATGCCTTCTGAGCTAGGTATAATATGTAGCATATCACTGAGGAGTGCAGCTTAAGGGATTACGGGCTGCCTAAGCTTATGGTGGGGACCACGCTGGACTGTGGTGGCCTAACTTGAGAAACTACATAGGGCCCGCTTTTTCCTATCGTCTCTCATTCGTAGACGGCTGCGCAGATGCCTAGTCGCAATCGTAGATACTAAAGAAACTACATTGTTCATCTTCTCCGCTCATGAGAGACGCAACCTTTTTACCCATTTAAAACTTGTACTCTACTTCAACCATGCAGACCCTTCTGACTGTTCCAATCACCATTCGTGAGCAAATTTACCACGAGCTTCTCACCTACATTCCATCGGAAACAGCCACCAAAGATGTCGCACCGTCCTCGCCAATATGCAAGCTGCTCGCTCTGAACCGACAAATCAACACAGAAGTGTTGAAGTTTCTGAGCAGTCAATTGTGCGTGGTGGTCAAGACCAATTATTCGCGTTTCGGCGATTCCATCCTCGATGAACAAGTTTACCGCTTGCCGCTCATTTCGCAATTACAGTCCCGCTCCGGAGCTATCAAAAAAGATTGCTCTAGATTTCCCGTTGCTATGGAATGGGACAGCTGCGTATTTCGAAGCAGGCTACTAGCAGAGAGCACTCCATACTGCTTGATGCCGGCCACAAGCATGATGCAATTGACACAGATCGCCAGAAAACGGTCAGCTTCGTGAGTGCATTTAGTACACACTGTATACTCTATACATTTGTTAACCTCTATTAGCCTGGTCGATACGTCTCTCACGTTCACACTTCTCGAAACATTCTCCTATTCCAAAGACAGAGCCCTGGAGATCCTCGTGGGCCCTTGGCTAGAAGATCCCTCTCTCCTTCCCAGATTTCTTGCTGTCAACACCAACGACGCAATACCTCCACTCCTGACAGCGGACTTGAGGAAGCACTGGCAGCGACAAGGGAGTGCCGGATATTATCTACTCAAGATTGACATGTTCATGCGGAACGTGAATAGCGATACCCCAGAGAACACAGTCATACAATACAAGATGGTCTGTAAGTACGCCCGCCTAGTCTACGATTGCCAATTGGACTGCATTCGCAGCAATTATGGAGGTTTCCTTAGCCCGTCGACAGAAGACACGGTTCTTATGCTATGGTCCGCAACTTGCACAACCGCTGCGGATCTAGTCGAGGTTTTATGTCATCTCGCAGGCACCTTTGGTCCTAAGGGACTAGAGGTAGCGGATGCATCGGACAGTGTGGCATTGCTACAAGAGGCGCGCAAGGTTGCCGAGGAGATGATTAGTTTCCTGTCGGATAAGCCCTATTGTGCGCAAGAAGAGTCTATGACTTCGGACGCAGTGCAGATACCGGTTCGCAAGCAGAAGTTCTTGATGAGCTTCAAGGCGCATATCGTTTGCAAAGCACTCGGAGACGTAGATGCCGCTATCGGTTATCTAGAAGATGCGATCAAGTACTATTCCGAGAGCCCAGAGAACCCGGTAGAGAAGTTGCATGAGCTAAAAGCTGAGCGTGGAACGGGAAATGAGGGATCTGTTCCCAGGGTAGTACGATGGACAAGTTAAAGTCGCGTTACATAAGGCATCGGCAATGTAATTCATCGACAAAACATGTCGAATGTTCAAGGTGGAGTCGGCGCGACGCGCTAGCACCCCGCATAGTATCTCCAAGATGCCGAGGTTCACACCATCTCTCCACTACGGCTCTACCGACATGGCTGAATCGATCGTTACGCGTCCGCGCATGCTTACGCATATACACATGCCCCCTTGAAGCTCACCTATACTCCGTTGACCTCAGTTGCACCTAACCCACTTCCACAACCACCGTGTAACATCTCATACCACCTCCAAGATGACGCACGCGGCCTCGAAAGACGACCTACGCGCCACCACGCTCTTCTCCTTCACCGAACATGTCGTCCTCGTAACGGGCGGCGCGACTGGCCTCGGAGAGATGGCCGCACAAGCCTTCGTCCAAAACGGCGCCCGCGTCTTCATCGCCTCACGCAAAGAATCCGAACTGCGCTCTACTACTGACCGCCTCAACGCGCTCGGCCCAGGCCGCTGCTCCTATATTGTCGCGGACCTGAAGGACAAAGCCGGATGCCTAGGTCTCTGTGAAGAGTTGAAGAAGCAGACGGATAGGTTGACGGTGTTGGTGAACAATACGGGGGCGAGTTGGGGAGACGATTACTATAACTATCCAGAGCATGCGTGGGACAAGTTATATGCACTGAATGTGAAGAGCATATTTTACATGACGGTGGGGTGTGAGGAATTGTTGACCAAGGGGGCTGATATGCACAATCCCTCCAGAGTCATCAATATCGCCAGTATGGCTGGTATCACGACTGTGGATGTTACGACCGGAGAGGGAGGTGGATTGAGTAAACCAGGGACTGGCACATTCAGTTGTAAGTTGTCTCTTCCAACGTTTCCTTATTTGCCGCCCTGACAGTATGAACAGACGGTCCAGCGAAAGCCGCATGCATCCACCTAACCAAAATGCAAGCCTCGAAACTCGCCCCCAAGAATATCATGGTCAACGTCATCTGTCCAGGAGTCTTCCCCAGCCGTATGACGAATTTCGGCTTGGAGAAATACGCTGATGCGTTGACGTCTGGACAGCCAACTGGCAGGATCGGCAAACCTAGTGACTTTGGTGGGCTGGTGCTCTTCTTGAGTAGCAAGGCTAGTGCGCATATCACCGGAAACGCCGTGGAGATGGATGGAGGTGCAACCTTAACAGGATGGCGGGGGAAGGTTGGTGGTGGGGATAGTAAATTATGAAGGAGATGCGAGTTGTGAGATAGTTGTATGGGTATCATTTTGATTAGTTGACGAATGTGATACATAATGGTCAATGTTGATTAAGACCTGTGAAGATCCATCCACTCTTCCTCCTTCCATCACTCCAACCACAACTCCTCCATCGCCCTTACGATAGCTGAGTGGCCAATTGTGCGACCTGGTCCAGAATCGCCTGATCCTCTCGAACAGCGTTCTCCGTAACCTTGTCCTTCAGATGATCGACCTGCTGTGCCGCATCCGTAGGCGGCTGTCCCCTCGCCGTGTTTATCCTACTGATTTGCATCTCCAAGAAGAACTTTGGCGCCTTGATCAACCTAAGATATATCATGTCAGTATGTGTTTTGTATTCAGTTTGTACAGGAACGACTAACCCAAAGTTACCACCCGAAGAGCGCAAGCCAGCTTCAGTAGCTAGATAGACATTAAGAGCGTCCTGAAAAGCCTCAAGGTTGGAGTCGGCAAGCGGCACCGCTGTTGTGAAAGTGCTGGTAGCAAACTGTAGAGGTGTCTGGCCAGAGGTGCTGAAGTCGATTTTAGAGAAGGTCTGACTGCCAGAAGTCACGTCGGGGACATTTTCGAGTGTCTTTGCGTTGGGATCGCAAGTTACAGCGGCTTGGATTTGGTTGACTACATCGGCGGTTTCGCCAGGGAGGACTTCGTTGCCGATGATGAAGCACGCGTTGCCTTGGCGGGGTGTGATGTTGGCAGTCGGAGCGGCGATAGCAAGACCGCTGAGCAAGGTGAGGATAGTAATGGCGTTGGTATACATCTTCGGTTCCGTATATGAATGTCTCGTCTTATATATATAAGAAGAATAGAAAATACGTGATTGGCTGTAGAGCAAGAAACGAACGTTTAATAAGCAGTAAGATACCCTACCGGAGGGCAAGGAAAAGAATGTAGAACGTAAAGACTGACTTGGAACGAAACCGATGATCGATAACCAAGAAAAGACAACAAACAGCGCGCCATCACGCCTCTCTTATAAACGCCCTCATCATGCTATCGTGAGGTATCGTATTAGGCGCGTAAACGGCAATCAGGCACACGTTCGCGGGTGTCCCTGTATCACTAAGAGCGTTGCGACAATCCTGACAGGGCTGTCACGTTCGTCAGGTTTGGAGTTTCGCGACGCTTTAGGTTTGAGATCTTCGCGATGCGAGCAACATCAAGTCGCTTAAGCCAAAGGCGGCTGCCGAGCTCCGAAAACTTCACTCTTTCGTCCAATAGAGGGTGGGTCTGTATAGAGCCTTGCGGAGCCAGGCAAGTTTTCTCTTCATGCAATATGGTGCGCCACTATAGCTTGGCTGTTCGAGAGGGATGCAGGATGGCTTGAGAAGGGGGTTGAGGGAGTTTTGCAGGAGTTGCTCAATGCCGCTGAGCCGAGGTGCGAGAGCTGGTGAGTGTGAGCGAGGAGAAACCTCGCAGACATGTGGTTTTGTATTACATCGTGGATGATGCGCTTGTGTGGTAGTAATCCCGGAGGAAAGTTGTTGTTGGGTAGGAAACTGTCGTGCGAGGCTAGTGACCAATCAACACTAGCGCCATCGTCATGGGGAAGGAACATCTTCACTTCAACGATGAGAACAGGGATCTCAATCACTTATTCGATTATCATCCACTATCGAAATATCATCATCCACATACAAGCAGCATCAACTTTGGTATCGACCATATCCGCTAACCCAAATCCTCACTGTGTCTTCGACCAATCCTATCCTCGAGGAAACGCCATCCTGAGAGTCCGTCTATGCATATGAAGCGCCCCCGTCGCAATTCAATTCAATGCCCACATACGCCATGCTATGTATGAAGGTGCGTACAAGTTCCGTAGAAGAGTATGTAAAGTCGACAAAGGAGAAACACGAACGCGCTCTAGCGATGCTGGTATGTCCATAAATTCACTTTTGAAATCCAAAATGCAAAGGAAAAAGAGGGGAGAGAAGCAAATATTATGCTGTGGTCGTCCTTGGACTATGTATGGGTCGTTCCACGTGTTCGGTGATTGGACTTTGGCCCTTCGTCGTTGGCTGGTCGTCTGAGGTTCGTTGGGTTTCCTCCGCAATATCGCTCATGTCAGACTCGCCATCAGAGTCAGGTTGGTCTATTCTGAATGATTCGCGGAAATTTGCAGGCGTGATTGTCTGGGATGACACGTGTCGCGACTTTGTAGTGTCTGCAGACATCTTGCGGACGTAAAGCGGCTCATTACCGTCGCTTCCGGGAGAGAGCGCACCCGCCGTGCCATGGCTGAAAACGCTGCCATCCCTCTCATCAGGGGAGACTGCTTCCGCCGCCTCTTGGAGTTGTTTTACTGTCTTCAAGCGTTCTTCTGCTGTGGTATTGTGCCAATCGCCACCAAACTGAATGACGGACGCCTTCTTGCCATGGACGGTAAAGCTACCCTTGCTACGCGCCAGTCCCCCGTCACCTTCTGTGCTTTCGCTGGTAATCGTAGAGGCAGAGTCCCTACCCTTGTGGCCGCGGCGGTGAGAAGAGCTGCCACGGGATTCTCGAAGAGTGCGATGCAGACTTCTTCTTTGCTTTGTACGAGATCTAGGCGACCCTGTCAAAGCAGCGAGAGATTGCTCATAGTCAACATCAACGGCAGATTCCGGTTGAGTGCCCTCGAAAGGTGTGGGCTCTGGCGTTCTCGGTTCCAGGTCACCCACCTCACCTGGAGGTGGAGTAGCGTAGCGAGAATCATCATCAGAATCGGAGTCAGAATCTGAGCCTAATGTGCCGTCGCCAGTTGTCGATATCGAGGGCCTATGGTCAGAAGGATACATCCTTGGAGACTGTGCTGAGGAGCTGGCAAACGAGCTTCGACGGTCAGATGTGCTGGGACAAAACAACATGGGCGAAGCCTGGAACTGTGCTGAAGGGTCTTTAGGGCTTGACTGTGTCGTCTCTGGTGGTGTCTTGAAAGTTTCATCTCCACCAAAATCAGTATCTCTAGAAGATTTGGTACCTGGACGAGCTGATGAAGTAGGAGACAGTGGAACCTGCTTGGGTCCACTGGTCATTGAGCTGGTCTTTGAAGTCAACCGCGCGAGTCCACTGACTTTTGACGTTCTGTTCGACTGCTGTGGAGAAAGTTGTGGCTGCTGTGCTTGGGTAGGCTCTGAGGCTCGGTCACTCTGTGCTTGTTGCTCAACAATGCCTTGCCTCTCATCTTCCAGCTCCTGAGCCAGAATGTCACGGTGGCATTTCATCCGCCAAATGTCAATGCGTATCCATTTCAGCTTCGCTGACAACCGGCCCGCAGCATGAATGACGAGCTCGCGAGTTTTTGGTTGGATAGGTGCAAGAATCTGGAGATGTCTCGCATCTCGTAGGCGTGCTTCCAGCTCTTTTATAGCATTGGTAAGCCTGTCCTCGGATTCAGTGATGCGCACTTGCATAAGATCTTTTCGGGCATTCATCATTTGCGTTGCAAACTGGCTGTCGATCTTGCCACTTTGTATCGTCACATCGCCAGTAGCTGTTGGTATTGTCTTGGTAGAATGCGATGACTCAAGGCGTCGCATGCCACGGTTCTTTTGGCCTTCGTACAGCCCACCGATCATGCCTCTTGATCGAACGCCGAGTGTCTCAAACGCAGCGGTATAGTTTAGCACGCCTAGCCATTCGTTCAAGTCCTTCTCGCTATCGGCCAGAAACGTCTCCTCGCCTGCCTTTGAAAACATGACAAACGCATTCTTATGTTTCTTGTATGTATTGTCAACGAGCGCGACCGCACCATCCATGGGTATGATGTGGTCTTGCTTGAAGTCGGGAAGTGCAGGTTGGAATACGACTGGGCCAGTCTCACCACGCTTGAGATGTTGATCGTGCTGGCTCATCAAGTTCTTCGTCCAAGTAGAGTTTCGGAAAAGAGACAATCCTGACCGCGTAAGAACAGCGCCCCATTCTTGCCAAGGCGATCGTGCCTTCTTCTTCTTTGTGTCCTTTCTCCACAAGACTCCAACTTTTGTGACCGGCATTTCGACGATACCAACTGAGGTGCCGAAGGGGTTCTCTTGGGCAGCATCGGACATGAAAGCTTCTGGTCTTGATCGAGAGGACACGATTTGTATGACGCCGTATTTGGAGAATAACTTGTAAACGTTCTTGGTGTCCAGCGTCGCAGTAGTGCCAGTGTAATTGTAAGGATCGTCCAGTTGCATCACGTCTCGAATCGTAGGACGGAGGGCGTCTAATTTTCCCTCAAAGATAAGTGTGTACGGATCGATGGGTTCCTTGGCCGCTTTGCGCGCTGGATCGTTCATTGGCCCCTTGAGCACTGCAGTTCTCTTGCTTTTCTTCGAGGTGATGTTCTTAAGGTCGACCTCGTCCTCGATGTGGATGAATGGAGTATAGACAATATTGTCGTAAAAGCAACCTAAGACATCAGCCGAGACTCCATCACAGGAAGAGTTCTTGATGTAGTCCGGCCTTTGCATTTTGCGTTTGTTGTTTTTGTTGAATACGTCTGTATGCAGGATGATGATTGAGAAGGATATGAAATAAGCCTTGTCTGTAGTGTGTCAGTCATGGTGATAGATGCAAAAAGCTGTCTTCGTACCTGTGTTAATGTAGATGCCGGGGTTGCACTCGTGATACCGATCAGCGAAACCCTGCAGAACACGGTCGATTTGCTGCGTCTCCTTGGGTAGTTCAACCTGCATGAGTAATTTGCGGATGGCCATGTCGATTGGATCACCGAAGAAAGCAAATTTTCGCATGTAGCTTCGTAATACTGCGAGAAGGAACGGATCGTCAGTCTTGCTGAGATAGCTTGCAACGACGCTCTTGTCGAAGTTGTTTGCCTCGATTTTTTCCAAATACCGCCCAGGTGTTTCACCCTCCTCGCGATCTGGTAATATGAGTGCTTCCCGGCTGATATTCATGGAATTTTGGTGTGAAGACAAGGCTGAGCTTCCTAAAAGGCCGTGAGCAGGTGAAGCATGCCTAGGTGAATGGGGCTCGGAGTTCTGACGAAATCTTGAACTCAGGCCGAACAAATTGCTGAAGCTACTCCTTCCTGCTGTGGAGGTAGAGTTTCTTCCGCTGGGTCCACCAGGTGGTGTTGGCGAACCTGCGCCGTCCGACCGCCCGCCCATTGATCCCATGGTCGATGAGCGCCCCCTAAGCCCCATGCGAGCTGAACCATTGTTGTTTGGCGAGGTACGAGCGGATCGGGTTGACCTGTACGAGTCGTTGCGAAAGAGAGTGCCTGGACCAGATGAGGCTAAATTCAAAGCACCAGCAGCTAGAGCAACTTGCGATGCAGAAGGGACTGGTGGCGTCTGTGCCCCAGATTCTCCATGGGTGAAGCGCCGGGCGGTCAATGGGGGACTTTCGGTTGGTGAATGATGGATTGAGGCGGAACTCCTCGCGCCAGTGGACTGGCGTGGTGTAGCAGGCGCTGTGTCGGGGAACTGCGGAGGCTCGATTTTCATAGGGAGTGGAAATAATGATGCACGCTGTTTTCGACGGCCAAAGGTAAATCGTCCAGAGCCAACGCGGGCCGGGTGAGCGGGTCGTGGGGTCGACTCAAAGGAAATATGTCCACCGGAGCTTCCATCTGACCTGGACGACTCGGATGCCCTGGTGGGAGGAGCCAGGGAGGTGGTGCTTTCCGCAGATTCTCGCGATTCGGCAAGCACATCGGCGCGGCGTTGGCTGCTTGTCGAGGCTCGCGCCTTCTCGTCCAGGAGGTCTCCATGACTCTTCTTGAAGCCTAGTGGCTTCCGCTTCTTCTCCATCGACTTGCGCAGCGTCGTCGGCTTGTCAAACGTGGACGGATCGAACGAGCGCCGGCGCAGGGCGAACTGTTGCATCCTGCTCCGTTTGGGCGGAGTCTTGTCCTCGTCTTCGTGGTCGGCTACGGTGGGTGCAGTGGTGATGATTGCGGGCGCTGCGCAGCTCTACGTCAGTACTCCAGCCTTCTGCCATGTGGGATGCATCCATATACGTACGCGCAGGATTACCGGGCACGCGAGGGACGGGCGGTGCATCGTCGTCCCGGGCGGCATGTTCCTTTGCCTTGGCGGAGAGTTGCGGATCAGAGGCATGGCGGAAGCGCATCAGACTGAAGCGCTTGGTGTTGGGAGTGTGTTCCTGTACGGGTGGAGAAGGCGGGGAGTCGTCATCATCATCATCGTGGCCTGTCGAGGGCCGCGCAATGTCGGTGGATGTTGGACGGTAGCCATCCTCAGAGGCAGCGATTCGACCTGGGTCCAGATTCTCGGCCGACCTGTCGAAGCGCGCGTCCTTGTCGGCGCGCTTGAAGAAGCCGGCAGGGTCGAGGGTACTCCGTCGCTTGAGGTCTCGTTCGCTACGGCCGGGGCGGAGGGAGCGCAGAGGCATGGCTGCTCGCGCCAACTAGCAGCTCATGAATGCAAGTAGGGCGTCACGGTGCTTGACATGGCACAGCGGGGTGGGCAGTTGAGGGGGTCAGTCAAGGGCGTCGCTTTATGGGCTCTTTGGACTGTAGGATGGCTCGGATGCGGCACGCCCACAAGGCTGACGGAGTGATGCTAGGATTAGTCGGGGAGGTGAGATGTGAGAGCCGGTCGAGAACTGGGCACGGCGTTGGACACGTAGGTGTTGGATAGGGCAGTCGACGTCACAGTGTCTCGCTATGTTGTATAGGGGGAGGATACCAGGCCTAAGGGTAGCAGATCAGCTGTCACCAAGGCACTGACGAGCGCACTGGTCTTCTCTGCAGCGCAGTGGAGAGTGCCTAGCGCAGCGTTGGCGTAAATGGCCGCGCCTCGCAAGCTCCACCAGCCACAATTCCCACGTTTCTTCCAGGCATGCTATGCTCAGGCACACGACACCTTCTCCACCCTCTTCCCGGCGCTTGCTGGCCACCACCATAGCATCGCATACATAGTTGGCTCACTGCTTGCCCGGCCACCCATCCCCGCAATGCGCCAGCCCGTTTGCGCTCTGCTGAGTCTGCTGCTTCTCGGGCCACAGCTGGCAACGGCCGCCCCGCACGACGCAGCGCCGTCTCCGTACGATGCAGGAACCTATGCTTCGACCCACAATGCGTCCCCACGACCATGGCGGCGGCTTTCCGACGCGATCATACGCAACATCTGGCGACTGCCAGAGCAACAAAAGAGCTTGGGCGGGCAGAGTGCGCAGACTGGCCGCGATGCGCTGGGCGATAAGCTGGTCGCGCAGTATAGGGATGATGTCGTGTTGAGGTTCAAGATAGGCACCGCCGAAGAAGCCTCGGCACTGGCAGATGCAGCAGACATCCTCTTCCTTGACGTATGGGAGTTTAATGAGGACTGGGCAGACTTGCGGGTATCCAAGGACGTGGTGCCTTCCTTGTTAGGACTGCTGCCTGCATCGCTGAAGGACTCCCACGCACCACTCCTCCAAGACATCGGCCTTGCACAGGCAATCTTCAACTCCTACCCATCGCCCAACTCTGCACCTGCCTCTGACAGCGACCGATTCTCTTCGAACCTCCGACCGTCCTCGCGATCAGGCAAGGGCAACATCTTCTTCCAAGACTACCAGCCACTCTCCGTCATAAACCCATGGATGAGCCTGATGGCTTCCATGTTCACCACACACGTCCGCCGAATCAACATTGGAATCAGCTACGAAGGCCGTGACATACCTGCCCTGCGTGTTGGCGTGCACCCCACAAACAACGAGGAGCCGTCCAAGCCGCGGAAGACGATCCTCATTACCGGCGGCATCCACGCGCGTGAGTGGATATCCACAAGCACCGTAAACTACCTAGCCTGGAGCTTCGTCAACGCTTACGGCAAGGACCGTGAAATGACTCGTCTCATGGAGGACTTTGATTTCGTCTTCGTCCCAACCCTAAACCCAGACGGATACGTCTACAGTTGGGAGACCGACCGTCTATGGCGCAAGAACCGCCAGCCCACCAATCTTCGTTTCTGCCATGGCATTGACCTCGACCGCAGCTACCCTTTCAAATGGGACGGCGCTTCTCTGCAATCGAACCCCTGCAGCGAATCATATCCTGGTAGCGCTCCGTTTGAAGGCGCAGAATCAGCGCGCTTCGCGGAATGGGCGAGGAACGAGACTGACAACAACAATGTTGAAATTGTTGGTTTCCTAGACCTGCACTCATACTCTCAACAGATCCTGTACCCATATAGTTACTCTTGCAATGAGGAACCCCCAGCGATTGAGGACCTTGAAGAGCTCGCTCTTGGCCTGGCGAAAGCTATCCGCGTGTCCCGCAAAGGGCAAACGTACAAGGTCAACTCTGCATGCGAGGGCAATGTTGCCTTCGCCAACCAGAAGAAGACCATCCTTCCACGTATCGAGTCCAGTGGCGGCAGTGCACTGGACTTTTTCTACCACGAGCTCAAGGTCAGATACTCTTACCAGATTAAGTTGAGAGACACCGGCAGCTACGGTTTTTTGCTTCCTAAAGAAAACATTATACCCACCGGAGAGGAGATGCTAGACGCGTTGTTGTACTTTGGCCGCTTTATGCTGGGAGAGGTTGGTATCATCACCCAGGAGCAGCCAGCTCAAATTGTAAAACCTAAGATGGAGGACAATGGAGAAGCAAACGAGACTGAGGTCATGGAGTTATAACTGATAGTTGACTTAATATATCCCCCTAGCTTGCCTACGCGTATTGCGTACAGTATCAAGAGACGCTCGACGAATCATAACCGCTTTTGTACGTAGTGCGTCCGATGCAGATCTTGAAAATGCAAGCGCGCGGTCGAACTTCGTACGAACTCACACAAGCGCAAAGGCGTTAAAAAGAACCTTGGAAGTCACACAACATCCAGGTTCCTGGAAGTTGGTTTTTAACGGCCGCCATGCAGGTAGCGTTCTCTTGCACGTGGGAGGCCCGTGCTGCGACCGTTAGTTCAGCATAGATCCTTACAACGTCATTGCTCGAAGTCTCGTCGACACAAACAGCTTACGCGCTTGTCACCAACCGCATCCACTAACGCCGACGTATGGCGCCGTCAGAACTCCGGGGCATCTGCGACTGTGACATCTTCTCTCTCTAGTGACACTTTCACCTTCGCTGTTGATTCGCACCTTGGCTGGAATTGATCACCATGGCGTCAAGCTCTACCGAAACGACTCCCTTGGTCTCGTCAATGTCGAGCTCAAGTCGAGCGATACCTCCCAAGCCTCAGCGAACCGTCACATTCAACCCAACCGTCACATCGACTAGTCCGAAACCACCGTCGCGGTCAATCTCGCACAGCGCCTCCGCTTCCGGCCATGGTGCCACTACCCAGGGTGGACAGCCCATGCTTTCGACATTGAACAGTAAGCTGCGGAGAAGGAACAGCTCCGGTGCGCCTGCCAGAATACCCCCCGCGTCGGTGCCCAAGATCGGTCCCCAGAGAACGACGAGGACAGCCCAGAAACTCAAGCTCCTTCCCGACCCGGCCGCGGATGAAGCCGAAGACGAAGAGAGCGGACGCGATGTCTATGTGCAATACACCAGGATAAAGGACCCTACAGCGCGAAGAGATGCAGCCAGACTAGGAAAGGCAGACAGGGAGCGACTACCAAGAGTGACGGCATATTGCACGGCCGCGTCGTACAAGCTCGATGAAATGATGCGATTTCTGAAAGGCAAGCAAAAGATCAGAGGAGCCGCGCCGAAGCGCTTCGATGAATGCATATACTCGCCGTACAACTATGGATCTACAAAAGGCCCAGAAGACGTCAGCAGCACTGCTGTACTCGACGGCTTTACGGAAGAGAGGCCGAGAAGGTTCTCGGACAGCGCCATTGAGGTGGAGCACGAGAATGAGAGAAGGAGGCAGGATCTCATCGACTTGCACGAGGATGGCGATGCGCCAGAAATTGTGAATGAGCAAGCCATTGGCCCTAGACGGCCGTCGATCACCCACGCCGACTCGGATCCGCAAATGGACGCGCCAGATTTCGATACACGCGTGCATACTCCGGAAGTGTTCTTGTTCGAGTATGGCACTGTTGTCATCTGGGGTATGACATTGCAAGAAGAGAAGAAGTTCTTGAAGGAAATAGCCAAGTTCGAAGTCGACAAGCTCGGCAAAGACGAGATTGAGACGGAAGAATTCAATTTCTACTACACGCGCGAGTATCAGGCCCGGATATACAACGACTTCATTAGTCTACGCGACAAGAAGAACTACATGATCAAGTTGGCCATCAGCCACGGCCTTTCTCAGAGTGTCAAGACATCGCTTTTTGAGGATCTAGTAGACAACACTATCGATGAGACAAAAGACATCCCGGCCGAGATCGCCAGCTCTGGCAAGATCAACCTGAACAAAAAGCAAATCAACATGCAGATAGGAGAGCTGTTCATCCTCCGTATTAGTATACATCTACAAGGATCGGTTCTGGACGCGCCAGAGCTTATGTGGGCTGAGCCACAGCTAGACCCTGTGTACCAAGCTGTCAGAAGCTATCTGGAAATGGATCAGAGAGTCAGTCTTTTGACCGAAAGACTGAACGTCATTGGAGACTTGCTTGCTGTTCTCAAGGACCAACTGACTGTGACGCACGTAAGTAATGCCGTGTTTCATGTACAAGTGTTTTGCTAACTGGATGCAGGGCGAATTGCTTGAGTGGATCGTCATTATTCTTATTTTTGCTGAGGTGCTGGTGGCTGCTATTAACATTTTTGTCGACTTGCACGCAGCGGACTAATCCGACGTGCCCGCTGTATATATTTGCTGGTGTACGATATTTTGCTCAGTGCGCGCGAACAGGTCTGGGCCTCTTGCAAAGGCCAATTGCACGGCGTTGGGTTGCGGGTATCTGTGTTTCCTTTTCCGTTTCTGGTATTGTTCCTCACATAACGAAGGGCGGATGTCACGGAGGCGAAATTGCGAATGGGAACGTCAAGAGGACGGGTTAGTGGCGAGAAAGTAATATAAGACTAAAGGCGGACGATCGCATTGTTAAGCTATCTTCCCAAGCAAGGCGGAGCTGGTCATCTCCGCCCGCTGAACCCTGTCGCGCCCCATCTTTCCCTATGCGACCCTTTTGAGCATTTCACCGCATGCTGTCGCCCTCCACCCGTACTGAGCCCCAATGAGCCGTCCCAGATGAGTTGGAATCTGCTAGAGCGCTTTATAGAATCTGAGCACTTCAACCAAGATCCGAGCCTCGCAGTAGCATACCTTGCGTGAGTCGCTGCCGCTCCCCGAAGCCACCGTTGCCCGCAGCACCGCCGCCGCGCCCTCCCTCTCCCTGTCCCTTCACTGAGACCACCGCATTGGGAGCCAAGACTGACATCAAATATCTCAACAGCCGGTATGCAGATCACGTCGGAATCCACTATGTGCTCTGTTCGAAGCTGCGCCAGTTCGCCTACGAGGAGCTCGAGTTCTTCCTCCCGCAGTACGTCGCCGCGAGCCCACTCCACTACTACGACGACATGAACAGCTAGCTTACATACGCGGGGCACAGGCTATGTCACCTGCTCATCAGCATCGACAATGAGTCCATGGCTCTGGAGGAATTCATAATAGACTTGTGCGAGGAGTCGGTCAACGGCGCGCTTCTGGTGGGCTTGCGGATACCGTGTCTTGTTAGCCGCTGCGGGTGCTAATCTCTGCCCTCTAGACATTTTGGCTGTTCCAGACATATCTCCACGATCTCGCAAGCGCCCCCAACTCCATCGCCTTCAAGACATGTCGCCGAATATACAACAGGGTCCAGCGCATCGTCTTCGGATCCGCCGAGCCGCAGCGCCGAGAGAAGATCAAGGAGAACGTACTCCCCGTCACCGTACTCTCTAGTCTGGTCCTTGCGAGCATAGCCGCGCCCTTTCTCCCAGCTCACGCCGGCCCTCTGGCAATTGCGCAGGCGCGGAAACCCAGACCCGTCGAGGACATCATCTCGGATAACGTGCAGACAGCCAAGGTCGGAAGGAGCAAGACTGTCACTGGAGGATCGTCAAGAAGCAAGGAGAAGAGGGTAGCAGCCCAGCACTCAGACCCCGAAGATGGGCGCTCGATCAAGGCTTCATCTTCGCGACCCCGCGACCCGAAAGAGCTAAGGAAGGCGGCAGCGCGGCCACCAGCTGCTCAACGGGCCCCTTCGATGCAACACCGCCCTTCATTGTTGTCAATAGCATCAGAAGCCCGGCTCAGCTCGTCATCGTTACCCGACTTCCGAGACGGCAAATCGTCCCCCCTCCCTACTCCCCCAGCGACTGCCGGTTTAGGACCAGGCCCACTTCAACATGGCTTACGCAAGTCGGGACTACCACCAAGGCCTCTTACACCTACTGCATTGACCCGTACCCAGAAAATTCGACTTCTACGATCCAACTACTTCCGCAACGAAACTCAGTTCCTGAGCGCTCTCGAGGACATCTCAAATCGCTTGGTTGTTGTTCCAAAACCCGCACGGTTGAGCGCGCTGAGAGCTGAGCTAGCATTGATAGATCAGGACTTGCCAGCCGAAGTAGACATACCTCTATTATCGCCTCCGACTCTCAAGGACGGGATCCCATCGCAAAGCCAGCATCACCGTATAGTGCGCATAAACCCTGCGGAATCAACTAGTCTCAACAGTGCAGAGCGAGTACCTTACCTGCTCATGGTTGAGGTTCTGGAGGAGGATTTTGATTTCGACCCAGACACTGAACAGAACCAGCAGTTGCTCGAAAAGTTGATGCTAGAGAAAGGCACCTCGAGAAGACGTCTTTTCGACATCACCAATGCCGAGTATCTTGCATTCGATCGCACACCACCCAACGGATCCGACAGTGTGTTCGAGCCTGCTACTGGAGACCTGGGTAGTACCTCACTCATCAAGGACATGGATGAGAACGACATTGCGTCTGGAATGGCGCGCGTGACATTACCTGGTGCAACCGCCAATGGGAAAGCCACGGCCCCAAGGTCTTCAAGCGGAGCGAACACTCTATCTTCAGTGGCTACCCTTTCTACGCCACGAACGTCCGACTCGCAAATCAGCAGATCGAACAGCCCTGGCCCTATCAGGCGTATGACAATTCCAGCAAACCTCAATTCACGGAATCAGGCTGTCGACCAACCAGACTTCTCCGCCCTCGCAACCCACATGCGCACTGCTGCTCAAATGCTCGCACAACTTGAAGCAAGCGGCGCAAAACGGCCAAAGGGCGAGGTGGCAGCCATCAAAGCCAAGATCATTGCTAGTATGCAGACATTGGAAGAGCAAAACTTCTTGAACGAGGATCAGGGACCAACATTCGACACAATCATGGCAGAATCAGATCCAACAGCAATCACAGGCGAACCAGAAGAGCTTGAAGATGGTCTGCCGGTCGCGACCAACTCGGGTGCAGGTGCAGCTCGTATGGAGAATGATCTCAAGACGGGTGGTATGCGGCGGAAGGGTGACCGTGACGACCCCAGTGCCGCGACTTTCGGTGAAGAATGGAGTGCAAAACGAGAACGGATACGACGGTCCTCACCATACGGCCACATGAAGAACTGGGATCTCATCAGTGTCATTGTCAAGACAGGTGCCGACTTACGTCAAGAAGCCTTTGCCTGCCAGCTCATCGACGTTTGCACCAAGATCTGGGAAGAAGCAAATGTACCCGTCTGGACAAAACGCATGCGCATCCTCGTCACAGGCGAATCCTGCGGACTCATCGAAACCATTACAAACGGCGTGTCTCTCCACTCACTGAAGCGAAGCTTAACACTAGCCAGCATAGCAGCAGGCACCAACCCCCGCAAACGCATCGCGACTCTAAAAGATCACTGGCTCAAGACCTTTGGCGAACCAGACTCGGAAGCTTATATTGCGGGTGTAGGTTGCTTTGCCCGCTCCCTCGCTGCCTACAGCATGATTTGCTACGTGCTGCAGCTCAAAGATCGCCACAACGGTAACCTCCTCATCGACAACATGGGCCACATCATCCATATCGACTTTGGCTTCATGTTGTCCAACAGTCCCGGCAGCATGGGTTTTGAAGCCGCGCCTTTCAAGCTAACGCAAGACTACGTTGACGTGCTAGGCGGTGTGACAGGCTCTGCGTTCGAAGAATTCAAGACGTTGTGTAAAAAGGCGTTCCAGGCGCTGAGAAAGGATGCAGAGAGGCTGATTATGCTAGTTGATCTCATGAGTAAGAATAGTAGTATGGATTGTTTCAAGGCGGGTGCGCAGACTGTGACGAACAGTCTAAGGGCGAGGTTGATGCTGCATTTGAGTAGGGAGGAGGCTGAAGGGTTCGTCGAGGAGCTGGTCGCGAAGAGTGTGGGAAGTTATTATACCCGACTGTGAGTTTTGCCCTTTTTTTGTTTCCCTTGTCTCGTTCTTTGGATGACAACGGCGGTTTTACTGACATGATGATAGTTACGATACTTTCCAGTACCGCACACAAGGCATATATTAAGTTTGTTTGCGGCTGCTACTGCTTTGCATCAGTGGACATCGTTGCGAGGCATGCGAGAATTTTCTTCTTTTCTTCTCTGTTTTGCATTTCTTGGAGTACCTTGTGTGTAGGGAGAGAGTGAGGAAGGAAGTGAGGAGTCCATGCTGTGTACGCGCGCTCTTGGGCAAGTAGAAACACTGTGTGGCTAGGACATATGGACAGTCGAAGCTACAACACAATACTTCAATTTCACATTGCCTGTTGTCCTAAACCTGCGAACAGGTTCTTGATTTATGTGACTTGGACAATATCCTCTGCGGTGTTCCAAATGATGGACACTGCTGTCTCCGCTAGGACTAGAATTAAAGCCCACCCGCCCTTCCTCTGAAGAAAGAATCATTTATAAAATAAAGCTTCGAATAGTCCGTTGTAGGAAACAATATACCGCCCTATTCCGGCACACTGCCAAACCCCTCCTTCTCTCGCATCACCCTTCCCTTCTCCGATAGTTTTTCGTTCTTCATAATACCTGTCATCGAGTCAGTTTGATGCAACTCATCTATGCCTTGGAACCGATGTCCTCAACACCACCACCCACAGCATCGCCACGATAGAACAAGAAAAAGGGAATGACATACCACCGACTTTCTCCACCACCTTGCCCATCATGGAATCATGACCTGGCCCGCTCATCTCACCGGTTTTATTCCCATACCCTGCACCACCCGTGGAGCCGCTTCCCATGGGCGTGGCGTTTGAATACGGTGCCGTATCTGAGTGGGAGCCGAAGCGGAATTCAGAATTGTCGGTTGAAGGGGTAGATGAGGAGCGTTTGTTTCCTGTTGTTGGTGGTAGGCATCGTTAGTCGTCTGGCTCTTGAAAGAGATATATAGGCATGGCTGTTTTTTCTTGGACGCAGATGAGGAGAAATATCAGGTACGTACCGAAACCAGCACCACCTGTTATGCCTGAACCGTGTTTTTCATGGGGCTCATGGTAGGCGGTATTTGAATCTATAAGGCCGAGACGGGTGTTGGTGTGTTGGTCTTGGAGGTCTTCTGCGGCGTAGTCTGGTGCTGTGCGGTTCCCGTAGCCTGCCATTGTTGTCGTCGTTGTTGTCCGTGCGGTGAACTGTGAGTAAATGCGTGTATCTCTAGAGAATAGGGAACAGAATAGGAGTATGTGGAGAAGACGTAGAATTAATTGGAATGGTATTTCTGTTTGGGCAGTTTCACAGAGATCTCTGATTGACTATATAATATCTGCGCCTCCTTCTCTACTATCTGCCGTGTGCTGGCCCCCAGCATGAACAAGCATCTGGCAAAGGCGGAAAAGCCTTATGAGGTCACTTTGCTGGGGAGGCGTAGATCATCTGCAGCAGAAGCTCTATAAGAGGGTGGAAGACCCGGCCAAGGTGTGCTTGGTGTTCCCTGTAGGCACGCTAAATTCCGCTTATGTGGACCGGAGGAGATAGTGGCTCGTACTAGGCCCAAGGTTCAGCTATCGGTTCTGTACGGAGTTACGCTTCCACAGCCGCTCAAGGAGCGCCTGCTACTATTCTTCGCGCAAAACACAGCAGTCTGCCTCTGCTGCACGGCGAGGCCTCTCTCTGACATATTTTGAAACAAGATTTGGACCTCGATAGATGCCATTCATTCGATCGATTCCTAGTAACGATGGTCTGAGGCGAGAGATAAAGCTGACATCCAGAAATGGTGGTCGTCGCCGCTGATCCAAGATAGCGATAAGAATCCCGCTAGGTTCCGTCTCGTCACTGGTTACTTTATACCCGCCAAGATCTGGGGTATCCCACACTCCTTTGTAGATTGCTTAAAAAGTTCCAGAGCCTGTGCGCCAAGGACCCTAACGCCCGCAAATGCAATGCATGATATTCGAAAGTCGGATAAGTAATACTGCGAAAGGCGATGACCTCATCGGATGTATTTGGACTGTCGCGTAGTGTTAGTGAGTGTTATGCGTGGCACATTCAAGGGGTACATACCATGAACTTCTTATGGAAGTCGGATCGCAACATGTCGTTGATGAATTCCTTCTTCTTGTTCCTGTCTTCGGTGCCTCGTGCTTGGTTCTTGAAGACCACATCGTCGTCCCATCGGCGCTTCATGGTGAAGTCTTTCGCATTGAGCAGAGGATTGCCTCGGGCGACGTCGATTTCGCGTTGTTCTTCCTCTTCTGCGGCGCGTTCTGCCTCCTCCTTGGCTTTGGCTGCAGCGCGCTCTTTCTTGATCTTCTCAAGTTCGCGCATAAGGGCCGCGGTTTCGTCCTCTTCGTCTTCGTCCCTGGAACGTTGTTAGCAAGGGGTTGAAAGCCAGGACAGATTCGACACTTACTCTTCATCGCTACTTTCGTCCTCGGTGCTGCTGTCGTCTGCATCTACGTCCCTGAACTTTTCCAACACCTCTATGCGCCGCCGCTTTTGAGCTGCTTCATCTTCCTCGCCTTCCTCGGCTGCTGGTACAGCATCAATCTGACGTTTGTGCGCATTCGGCTCGGCTGCTGCCTCGGGTTCAACGTAGGTGCCGTTCTTCTTCGCGATGTGACGCGCCTCAGCCTCGAGAAGTTCGGCGCGAAGGTCGCGTTGAGCATCGGCATCGCCGCCTTGGCCTGGTTGTCTGTGTTTGAGTGTCGTATGCGCTGGTAGGAGTCGCTGATGATAGGCGGGCCCTCGCTGGGCTTCTTTACCGCGTGCGGGATCGAACGTAGGTCTGTGGGCCGTCGTCATTGTGTTGGTTTATTATGGATTGGTCGGATTTTGAGTTGGCACGGGTTTCGGAAGTCTTGCGCGTAGTTGGGGTGGTGAGTTGTTGATGCGTGAAAGAAATGGCGCATAGAAGCTCGAAGTCGTAAATCACGCTAAGGATCGGCGCCGGTCCCCGCGCATCATTTTCTATGGCTATTGAACAGCTATGATTTCACCAACGACAACCTCACGTACCTGTCGTATAAGGTCAAGATGCCCAGAGAAGCTGAGATATCGCTCAATGAGCGCGAATTCATCAAGCAAGCGCTGCAGGAGCAGATTCGTATCGACCGACGCGCATTCGACGCCTTCCGTCCGCTTGAGCTCACCTTTGGCGACGAGTATGGCGTCGCAGATGTTCAACTGGGCAAGACGAGGTACAACATACCCTGTGAATCTAAGTGCGCAAGTTAACCTTCTTCAGGGTCATTGCGCGCATTTCGGTAGATGTGACGACACCACTACCAGAGCGCAAGTTTGACGGCATCTTCCAAATAGTCACAGAGTTCTCTCCAATGGCTTCTCCAGCCTTCGAAGTTGGCCGGTACACATATTCCAAGTCCACCAATGTTTCGCTGTATCTGACTGAGTTGCTAGTCCCACAGATGCTGAAGTCATCCTTTCGCGCATACTTGAAAAAGCCATCCGTCGCTCCAACGCTCTCGACACCGAATCGCTATGTATCATTGCTGGCTTGAAGTGCTTCGCTCTCCGCGCAGATGTACACATCATTGACCATGATGGCGGACTCATCGATGCATCTTGCATAGCCGTCATGGCCGCACTACAACACTTCCGACGACCCGATGTCCAGGTAGAAGGCGACCAAGCTACAATCCTCAGCGTACGCGAACGCGAACCGATACCCTTGTCCATACTCCATCAGCCGCTCTGCGTGACCTTCTCATACTTCGAAGGTGAAATATTCCTGGTAGATGCAAACTTGGCCGAAGAGCAAGTCAGACAGGGAGAGGTTATCATTACCATGAACAAACATGGCGAGATATGTCAGATTGCGAAGTATGGAGGAGCCACGATCAACCCACTGGCTTTGCTGAACTGCACAAATGTTGCAATGCAAAAGGTCAAAGAGATGGGTGCATTTATTCAGAAGAGATTGGAAGAGGATGCCAAAGCAAGGGATGCCGGAGGGTTGATGGCAGAGCTCAGCGCTGAAAATGCCAGGTGAGACATCGCACGAAGCAGAACAACCTTACGAGAGACTACAAGTCTGGCCAGATGGCCAGTCTGCGACGCTTCCAAATACTGTGGCGCGGCCCAACTTCGTCCGCCGAGCCTCTATATACATCAGGAAAGTTTCCAGAAAAGGATGCACCGTGGGCCCGCTGATGATGTGGGTCGGTGATGAGTTGGCCCCTGGAACGGCTACCGGGAAAGCCGAAGACCAGAGCGCGACATGCAAATTCTAGAAGTAGCATGCGAATGTCAACGACAGTTCAGATTAGGCCATACTACATGTACATTTGCGAACTCAAAACTCAAAATCAGATCAAATTCGCAATCCCGAGTTCATCATAATATTGTGAATTTCTTGCGATATCCGACTGCATCAGCACATTGCGATATGTTTGAACATCAAGTCTAGATCTTTTGAATTTGTGACGCGGTGACGTAGCTGACAAACCTTTGGAAGCGCGACCGCGTCTAATTACTGTCGAATCGCGGCGCCTCGGCCCACGCTTCCCTGCAGCTTCACGCGACAGCTAGCACCTTACTCGAATGACATCTCCCCACATGCCATAACCCCCTCCTTTCGAGCGGACAAAATCGTATCCTTCATCCGAATGAGACGTTCGTAATGATATATAGGTTACCATCTAACACAATCACTATTCTATTGAGTCGCATTCCTAGAGTCGTTTCACTCCAGATCTTGAACATTGCGTCATTCAGGGTCTGACTGCATTACGTCTTCTATCTTAGATACCAAGCATCCGGCGCATCCTCACAACAACACTTGTTTTTTTACACTGCTTTTCTCCAGTTGCGCATTCCACCACTCACATAACTCAACATGTCGTCGAAACTAGTACCGTCCGACCCGGCCGCCGTTATGGTGATACGCGATGTCGTTCCACGCGTTATCACCACTCTATCAGTTCCCTTTTGGAGATTCGGTCGCATAAAGATTGGCGGAAGAGGAACAATCGGTATGCCGTACCCGGTCGACATCTCACAAGCACCTACTAATATACGCGAATAGTGCGCCTCGAATCCGGTGCTCTTGCGGTCTTCTCTCCTGTCGCGCTGACCGACGATGTCAAGCAGAAGGTATCCGAGTTGGGCGAAGTGAAGTACATTGCAGCCCTGGATGCAGAGGTAAGCTCTTCAAGCCCTTCAAAGCACCTAGAACTTTCCCTAACAAAGTCAACAGCACCACATCTTCCTTGGTCCCTGGCACAAGGAATACCCTAACGCGCAAGTCATGGGCCCCGACGTCCTCCCCGAAAAGCGCGAAAAGCAAAACGACGAAAAAGTCCCCTTCTCCATCCTCTTTGGCGAGAATAAGCGCGTCGAGTCCATATCTCCCGAGTTCGACGCCGAGTTCGACTGGGAGTACGTCCCCTCGCACATCAACAAAGAGCTCGTTTTCCACCACCGTCCTACCCGTACTCTCATCCAGGCAGACCTCATGTTCAACCTGCCTGCTACTGAGCAGTTTAGCAAAACGGGTATTGATGCGAACAGTGGAATTCTGACAAAGATCTTTACGGCCTTGCAGGGTACCAAGGGCGACGCGAAGTGGCAGCAGCGCACCATCTGGTATGGAACGAGCGCAAAGGACAGGACAGGTTTCGCTGCTAGTATGGAGAGGATCAACAAGTGGGGATTCAACAGGATCATTCCTTGTCACGGAGATGTCATGGAGGGAGATGGTAAGGGAATCTTTGAGAAGGTTATGAAGTGGCATCTGGAGGGAAAGAAGAGTACTTGAGTGGGTTGCTAAACAATTTGTGTGGGCGTAAGAGGAGGTGCGGGGTTGAGAGTTGTGTGATGATACCAGGTGCTGTAGGAGTGGTTTTTTGTTTCTACATGTACTATCAGTTTAGCTATTTCCTTCGTCTTTGCTAGCAAGGCGTTATGAGTATTGCAGCAAAAACTATATTCCCAGAGATACCATAATTGATTGCTGTCCCTCACTTGTTCCCTGCCCTATTCGCCATCTCGATGTCTTCTTCGAAGTTCCGCCTCCTCACATATCTTCCATCGTATCCTGCCTTCGTCTTCTCCTCTTTGCCAGTCCAGATCGATGCAATACCAGCCAATGTATACGGATTCTTGTCATACCAGGCTGTCTTTTCTGGAGGTTGAATGACGACCGGTGGCGGCTGAACGAAATCGTGGTTCTCATACGATCCGTCTCCCGGTTGTTCGAATACGATATCCTCACTGTATCCCGGATAACCATACGGTGAATCTTCTGGCTGTATTCTTCCGGCTTCATGTCCGGCGTGCGGATGTAAATGCAGGTGCGGATGAGGTAGATGCGGGTGCGGTAGATGCGGATGCATGACATGATCCACAACCCCCATAATCGCTTCTTTGACCTTATGTCCCTCTTCGTTCGCATCCTTGCACTTTTCCTTCGGATTATCATACCCTCTGCCGCCCTTCTTCTTCCGAGCTCCTTTCTTGAACTTCCCATACTTGGTTATCTTGACCATGTAATACATGATTCCTACTCCCACTCCTATCAATCCAGCGACGGGTGCACACGTGATGGTCAGGCCGGCTACATGCAACAAAAAGTCATTCCACCATTCCTTATTCTTAGTAGTCTTGTATTCCTTGTTGGAGATGTGTGCGATGAACCAGGGGATATGATAGACGAGTGGCCTTTCGAGAAGCGCGAGGGAGAGACTGATTTGTACTACGAGGAAGATGGCGGCGGCTATTCGGGACCAGTAAGTTACGACGGGTTTGTTTATGGAAAGGTCTCTGAACTTTTTCCAGGTTTTGTTGAAGCGGTCTATGGCGCGCTCGTAAGCATCTTTTGGGGGCGGAAGTTCTGGTTCTTCCTCTTCGCCATGATCTTTCTCTTGCCCGTCTTCTTTGATTCCTTCCCTTTCTTTTTCCTTTTCTTGGTCTGTGTTCTTTGGCTCCTCCTTCTCTTTTCTGATCAGATAGAGAAAGCTTATTGGAACGCGCCATAGTACAAAGAATGGGAGTACAACGATGAACATGACGAGGCTGATAATTATCTGTACAGTCATGATGAATCCCTTGGTAAGCCGGCCGCGCTCGATGGCGTCAAGAGTTTTTGTTTCGTCCACGGTTTTTGTGGCCTCCATTATATTAGTCGGTTGTGCTCGAATGCTGATGTTAGAGTCCTAAGCATATTGGCAATCGTGTATTTCGTAGAGACATCTCAGAACGTGGTACATACGTGTGAAGACTCGTCGTGACGAATCTACTAGATCTTCCACGGGCGCAAACTAGTGAAGCAGAAAGACAGCCTTCACGATGCTGTAGCGTGTGATGTCAATATGTTACTCTATACTCGGGTGATATGTATTCCAGGCCTAACCCTTCAAAGACCCTTTTCTCTGCATCTTCTGGTGTTCCATCGACTCCATTGGGCCCTTCCAGCATTATAGCTTCACCGGTACTTCGACTCCGAATACCGCTACTATCAAACTTCCAGCCTTTGGCTGCTTTCGCATATCGCCTGAGATCACGCTGGAATGTTGTACCGCCACTCCATCCCATGACTGCGCAACCTACGGTTCGCCAAGGAGCGACGATAATGTCAACTCGGCGATGAATAGTGGGATTCTTTGCTTTAGGGTTCTCTAGAATATCCTGGTCACGGGTAGGCCACGATGGGTCTTGCCATACAACAAGTGCTTTATCAAGCGTATCAAAGCCAACACCCGCTCCCCTCGCTGATCGAAAAGGCAGCGCATGTTGACCCCGATTGGTGTTTTTCAGGCTCAGTGTGAGGGTATGAGTAATCCACTCAGCTTCTTCCAATGATTCGACGATCTCTTGAACCAATCCTGCTGTACTATCCAAATCTGGGTGCGACACGATCATATCCACATCGCCAGACTCTGTCTTGCCACGTCTGTATCCGCCTACAATCGTCACAGTAATTCGTTCGTCGCGAAGCTTTACTGCGTGCTCACGAACAACTGCGGCGATCTGCTCAACCTCGGAGCGTGGAATCGGCACCAAGAACTCGTCGTAATACTTGACGCCAATCTGCTGCACTCTGTCCAGATCGTTCCAGCCGTACTCGATAATATCATCCAGCTCAGTCCAATGGTTGTTGTGGTAGAAATGCCGTGCGGTCTTCACTCCAACACCCCAAATATTGTAGAAGGAACGAAGAACCTTCATTGATTCGTCGGTCTCAAAATCTTCTACGGCCTGAATCTTACCCGTGTTCTTCCACTCTACAAAGAGGACAGCAGTCTTCTCATCACAACCAGGTAGTTGTGCAATCTCTCGTGGGTGACTAAGTCTATAGGGATATGCGGCGATGGATGCAACGATGGTCGAGTAAGCACGAACACCAATGTCGTCATCGATTAGGGTTCGAGCAGTTCTAATCTTCTTGAGTTGGTCAAGGAAATCTTCATTGGGTCCGTTGCCAGGTGTAAAGCGCTGACAGGCGTACTTGATGCCCTTCTTCACCCACTCCGGTGGTGGAGGCATATCACTGTCCTCGCCTTCATACTCGCTTGTCGTTTGCTGCAAAAGATGTGCAGCTTGTGAAGCATGGGAGTGACCAACAGGTTGGGAAGAACGGGTAAAAGTCTTACCATCGAAACGATTAGAGCCATGCTTTCTGAGTTCCTTAGGTTGATAAGTACTTTTCTTCGAGGCCGTAGGCGCATCCAATTTTGCGCGGGCCAAGATGTCCTGCACGGGATGTGGTCGTGTTGCCAAGAGCGTCTGGGACACTGGCGTTGCTTTGGTATGCGCCACAAATATATCTCTGATGGATTTCGTGGTCAACGACTTAGGCCTTTCAAGAACTTTGCCTTTGTATACTAGATTGTCCTGTAGTGGAAGTAGATGACCTGCAGTTACACAAGCTTCAACCCAGTCAAACTTGACAACCCAAATGACGTCTTCACTTGACGAAGTCTCGAACATTGGTGCAGGATGTGAACCATTGTCGGACTTCGAAGGTGATGGTAACGGTATGTGCTGCTTGTTTGTATTTGGTGCTTCATCCTCAGTTTCGGAGTTGTGACCAGCCTCGTCATCGGTAGTAGAGTCTTGCTCGTCCGCTGGTAGCCGACCTGATGTTTCACCAACTCTTCGTCTCTTGCTGTCGTGATTTTGTGCCTTCACGGGACTTGCTGGCCGTTTGGGTGTGACGAGTTCCTGGACTACCAGCTTTCGAGACCTTAATTCGAACTCAGCTCTTTTCTTAGTACCCACCTTCCCGATGAAGACTTTCGCCCTTGAGATATCGGTGATAAGCGGTGCGTCGTACTGGCGCAACGTTTCTTTGAGTTTTCTCACTTCATCGTCCTTCAAATGCGCAGTAAATATAGCGATTGGTGGGAGTCTGCTGAGATCTAGGGCCTGTGCGGATATTGTGGATGCTGGTGACTGTGATCCTGGGAGTATTATCTGGTGTGATTGATCCTCATCGTCCATATCGGGTAATTTGATGCTGCGCCGATAGCTCCAAGCAAGGGTGGTCAAGACGTGTCCAAGAAGCCAGTCCTGTGTCTTCGACTGTCTTGTTTGGATGTCCAGTTGATCATCGTTAAGAGGTCCAGATATGTATGCGGTAACATGTGATGTTCAAATGTGTATTATCCAGGTGAGTATGAAGTTGTTCCTAATGTCGCGCAACGCTGATGACGTCGGCGTGATGGAGAGGCTGGGAGTGTTTGCTTTGTTTGACCCCGATTGTTCTTCCAAGTCCGTGCACGTTTTAGTGCTGCGCTAACATTAGCGCCCGCGTTGACGCGCAATCCACCTGTGACATCTGTTTCAACCAAGTCCAGTCCAACGTCTTCCAGGCTAAATCTCCGGAATCCTTCAGCTCAACCGCCCGGCGTATTCTGTAACAGAACTCACATCCGCACACTTTGGCATGACGATGGCGTACCAGGAATCATGCAAGTTGAAACATTGTGCCCAACCGGAGGGGCAGCGATAGAAACGTACTTGTTCAGATCTCGGGTGAAGAAACATCAGCCGAATGGTTCTGGCGTTGGTTGGCTCTGGTCTGAAGACGTTGATGCACGCCTGGCTCCCCTCAACGGATCCATGGATGTCATGTCATGACCTTCCTTCCAACCATATTGGGCAGGTCGTCCACGCGTTTGTCGCCACCCCTGCCTTTGACAGTGTCGAGAACAAGCAAAAGTTGGTTGAACCTACACTGGCGTCTTCAGTACGCGGTCTAAACCCTGACTTTCTGCCCCAACATCACGGGCTAAAGATTGCGCGAACACCTCCTCCTTGCCGCTGATCGTTTCCCTTTGGTGCGCGGACCGCCGTTTCGGAATAATTGACAGGGCGACGTAACCTCTGAAGACGTCTGACCTGCCGGTTGGCGGATATATAGTAAGCTTGTATGGCTAAGATGCGGGTGATGATGCATTTCAGACGAACCGGTCTTCGTTCGCTACTACCCCGGCCGTTCCTGCAGCGGATATAGATGTGGATATTCCTTTGCGTCGCCACTCATTAACGTGCCTTATCTTCTTGCTACATACTTACGCGTGTGCTTGTCCTTCCTTTCTTCATTCATTTTTCGCTACTTTCGAGAAGAGCGCTGGTACCTAGTAGCTAGACTACACCGATTCAGCTTTGACAGCTACACATTTCGATCCGACCGAGCACCTTTACGTCAGTCCGGACTTCGTTCCTTTACCACTTCAAAAATGCGCTCCTTCATTGTTATGGCCATCGTGGCACTGTTCGCTCTTGCTTCCGCCATGCCAATTTCACCATCAGCACCACGTCTTCAGAAACGAGCTGAGCAATTCCGGCTGCAAGGACTAAGGGAGGTACGTCAAAAAGCCATACGTCAGCTGTTGCAAAGATTACGGTAACTAACCGTCGTAGTTTGAGATCGCCGAGAAGCTATCATCCTCTGCATCATCTGAAGTCGACCCGTGGCGCGTTCGATTGAACAACAAATTCCACGCTCTCTTCGATCCCACATCAACAGACGATGAGGAAGACGCCTTTGTTGACGAGTCTGAAGACTTCTCTGGCGACGTAGCACCAGGATCCTTGGAATCACCGCAAACTCTTCCCAAGGCTTCAGAGGAAGACAGCTTCTTTGACAAGCTATGTGCAATGTTCCACCGAGCGGAAAGCAGCTTCGGATACGAAGGCAAGGAGCTTGAGATGCGTCGGCCTGAGGGCATCAGGGACTGGAAGCGATCATATGGAGGGTTCCGACGACGATAGAGTTCAATATAAATGTTGTTTCGTGTTCTACCTAATGCCATAACTACAGCCAAATAAGTTCAAGGGGATGGTATATTCCTGGATGAATCATAGTGATGGCGAAGACTGCTGCCTACCCGCCCTAGGTATGTCTACGCCCGCTGAGTAAAGTAATTGCCCAATGACGATGCCGCCAACGCCTCGTACCCAAAATATATGTCGACAATCAGACACCCATTGTGAAATCGTGCTCTATACCTGGCGTTACACTATGAGATTGTTAGCTGATATGCCCTACGTCGGGGCGAGTTGTGCTTACCTAGCCATGAACTTCAAGAAGACAACAAGATACTGATCCACGCGGATGGCTACCTCGTCGTCACCGCCCTCACTAAGTACCTCCCAGTCATCCTTGGCCTCATCGCCGTCCTTGTTCTTGGCTTGCTCAGTAAGCTTCAGCAACCGTGTGTCATCCACAAGTGCTTCCATGCCACTGTCAAGTTTGCTGACATCTTTGCCGGCCTTAAGCTTGGCAAGCCGCAGCTTCAGGGCGGCATCGGCGCGGTCGAGCAGCACCTTCATGACGGATGCATGTTTGCAAGGATGTACTGACGCAGTCTTGAGAGTGTTGTCGAAGAATGGGAAGTCCTCGATTGTGACAGTCTTATCCTTGTAGTCTCCCACGATGTCCTCCATCATCTCCATGGGTTTGAGCGGGACAGATGTGGAGCCGTAGCCGGAGAGATATAGTCGCGGTGTTCGGTAGTGGGCGGAGTATGTGATGTAGAGGGTGTACGTTCGGAGGGGCCTAGTGGACGTCAGCCTGTCCCCTGCTGGCTGGCAGAGCGAGGACGGATAAACTTACGCCTTTGTGTTTGAGTCGCCCTGTGGATCTCTTATGATGGCTTCTTCGTCGTCTTCAATATCCTCCATGTCGGGTATCTCGTCCTCCTCCTCTGCTGCGCCTAGGTTGCCGCTCTCGTCAACCGTCCGAACATCGCGCACCTTGGCCTCCTGACTAGCCGCCATGCCCCCGGTCCTTAGCCAGCCGTCGTCGTCGGTCGCGCCTTCTCCAGCAGTGAAGCCATCCCGTACTATTGTCTCGTCCTGACCGGCCTCACCCGCGAAGTTGTCATCGAGCCGTCGGTGGCAGGGTACGCCGCGCGTAACTAAGAACTGCTTTCCTTCAGGCAGGTACGATACGCGCTTCGCCGGCGATGTTGCATCTGCCCACTGCCATGAGGGAAACTTGAAGACCAGAAAATCCCCCGCAAGGACAAACTCCTCTGGTGTTATCTGACCCGTCTCGCGGAAGGTCGATGTGTGGCTGATAGCGGCGGTCCGCTCCCGGAACGTGTCGATGTAGGACCTGACAAAGTTGTAGGCCATGTTGGGCTTGGGTTTGATTCGCTTATCGAGTGCAAGTCCGTCTGTGTGAGTGTAGTGATGTTCAGTATTGTGTCTGCTCAAGGTGTTGGAGGGGCGCACGGCAGTGGGGTTGAAGGCTGCGGGACCGATGTCACTGCCTAGCGCCATGGGACCAGCCACACCTCCGCAGCCATCATTCACCTGCCTCGCTTGTCACCCGACAACACCCAACATCGTCATCCTCTGTTTTCCTTTGCGATGACGCTTCATCACGCTTCCCCCTCACATGATCGTAGCGCATTCAAAAATCGAATCTGTCACGGGCTCGCTTTCCACGTGGCACAACGACGTAGCGCTGGAGCTACATGATGCTTGAGTAACGGCGTATGGGCCTGAAAGCCTCACCAAGCATGACATTAATTGTCGCAGAAGTGGATATCATCATGTTGCTTTCCATCTCTTTCCATAGGCTCTCGGAGATAACTCCACGTCTTGCTATAGGCATACCTCCATAGCACAGAGGAGACTTAAAGTCAACACGGTCGCCATAGTCATCTGAAGGATACCCGCGCTTGGGCTGCTAAGAGCTATAGTACCGTCTGCAGATGCTCCTAAGACTGGCATGACATTCCGCGCCTAGCTTGGGTATGAGACGTGCCCAGCGCTTCTTCGAGACTTCGCTACATGACTACGCAGACGTCTGTCGCCCACGCCCCTGTGTAAAGACCCAGATCCCGTAATACTACCGGCAGATGTAAAAATAGGCTCTTCCAGCGACGGGAATAGGGATCAAGGCAACAAGGCAACCATCGTGGCGACACAGCATGAGACGCCTTGTACGTTTTTCACGTTACCTCTTGGACGAAAGTTCGCATGGGCAAGTGCGCTCGTATCACTTGCAATTGGCGAATCCTCTAATTTGCCGCCGGTTCCTATCAGGTCGCATTGGTGTCGATACCATGAGCATGCACGATCTCTGCACACTGTTGTACACCGTTGTCTTGCCTCGATGCAACGGCAAACGTCATTTCTACTTTAGGCAGTCCCCACTCGTAGGTGTACCATCGGGGCTGCCAGTTCACCGAGCTGATTTGGGGCGATTTTGCATTGCTCCACAGGTAGGAGCGAGCTGACTAGATAGGCAGTCACCTTCGCACGTCTAGATGTCTTCTTTTCTCGGCTTTTTCTTGAGCGATCGTATACACAAAGGGATGCACAGCAAGGAATGGAGCACGTGTTCATCGAATTGACACTAGCCTTGTTCGGCCTCCACCACATTCAATTCCTCTGTTCGCACCTTCACCGATTGCTCGAACGCAAAACTGACCCTTGTTTACTTCCAAAGGTTGCGATCAGCTTTGTCATCAATTGTTGCTTTGGTGCAACGCCAATGTGTGTTTGGACCTCCTAGACAGGACGACTCGCTTGAAGAAAATTACTGCTGTTGGACTGGTGGGTGTGGTGACCCATGCACATGAACATGGGCTTAGGGAGGGTCATGAAATGTGCATGTATCGACAAGCTCAGTGCTGACATATCTGTCAGGGTTCGGTCAAACATACGGCAACCCACAGCTAACTTTGGATAGTCCCACATGTTCGCACAAGCTCGGGTCGTGGAAAGTGCTCCATCACCAACATGATCATCAGGTCCGCGCGTTCAACAACCGCTATGGCCATCGAGAGTCTTCAGCATGTGCAACAAGTATACCCGTATTGTCCGGTCGAGGACTTGATCGGCAGATTGTACGCACTGTTAGTGACCTCGTACTTTTGTACATCTGAAATCAAGTCAATACGCTACACTCTTAACTATCGACACTGATGTCAACCGCTCGAATCTACAAGGGACGCTGTACTACATCACAAGCTGCGTTCATGCACGTCGTATCGTTTTCAGGCCATTGCCGCGTGAAGTGCTATTGAATGCCAGTGTTCATATCCTGCTACCATTGGGTCGCTCAAAGTAGGTATGCTCCATACATGCATAACCTCTCTAATGGGATATACTCTGGAATACAGGCTGACTATTTATAGCCGCATTAGGTTCACAGATCTGCAATTCAGAAAGCAGTATCATTCGTGAAGGGGATACTTTGTGCTTCCAAGAGGCGTTTCAACAATATGCTCATGTAGACTATGGTCTACAGCATCTATACCAGCCACAACATGGTTGACACTTGCAACATGAAGAAAATGGCGCACGCTTGGGGCGAGTGATTCGGTGCGTCCATTGAGACTACCAATAATTTCGAAGTTATGCCGTCCCAACTATCTTACTCTGCTGGACTATAAAGCTTCACTGATCTACAGCGACCTGGGTAGATACAAACAGATACCAACGCTATCGTCATTGAAGGCACTTCTGGTTCTGAAGCAAGAAGTCTACTACATTCCGGCGTCGCGGACACCAACACAAGATATCATAACTGTATACCACTCGTCGCGACCGATCTCCGTCCCAATGGCCGACCCTAATTCAACAATCGATACCTCCCAGCCGAGATGTGGAGGTTGACGTATCAGAAATTCCCCGCTCAGCGGTCATGTATGTGATCTGCGGGTCTTTGGCCTGATATTGCTGACATGTTGTGGGATTCAGACCTCAGCAAGACGTTTCAACAGCCAATTCGTTACATACGATGGACTCCTGAACTACAGCTGTTCCGACAATTTATACTGTACTCTATAAACCGACGCTGGCGCATTGACCAGGAGAAGAAGAATCACGGATCGTGGTGGTCGCAGTACTCGGCCTTGGCTAAGTCATACGATATCCTTGTTTCGTCGCATTCGTGTTGCACGATATCATGAGTTGGCCTTTTTGCTTCCGTTGTCTCCTTCCGAAGCGGAGTAAATTCGACACACACGCAGTCGCTCCAAGATCTACAGCTTTTGTACTTTCCATCCGCTCAATGTTCATAAACCAGGTAATAAATTATATGGGTCTCGTTACTTCATCTTTCTCATCTGAGAGATATGCAACAGCGATGTCTTCTCCAGTTCCAGCCAGAGACATGTCGTGCCGCCACGCTCGCACCGCCACGCTCGCACCATCCGGCGCAGCGCAACAGTCGGCGGTAGCACGAACACAGGCTGATGGAGAAATTTTCACATTACCATCGAGCACATGATTTCAGTCTCTCACTCGGTCGTTTTGACCGAGATGAACGTAGGCTCATGTTTTCTTTGTTCAGGAGATGAAAGAAAAGAAATCGCGCACTGTTCCAATCGTCTTCTCACACTCACAAGCACAGCAACCGGTTGTTCGCTGGCAAGGTTACTATGTACCAGCAGTTCATATCATCACCGACATCGGCTAGGAACGAAAGTCCCCTGAATCGCAGCTCACAGATCACACCCCTGGAACACTCTCTGGTTCGTACAAAAGGAGGCAAGGCCGCTCGAGTCTCAGTCACAATGACTTATCCTATTCATTTGTGACTCGCTACTATGATCGTCTCTATACAGCATACTTGATAATCATCACTCCGTATTGTAGACGTGATGCTTAATGTCTTATCATACATTAGGATCTTGTCCCACAAGCCCAGCGTCACCAAAACTACCGGTCCCCCCTCGCACCGCCTCTTCGTAACGAGAAAGCACGGGCAACGGGACGCTGACAGTAGACATGATCTCGATCGTAACGAG